AAATTTATGGAAAAATATAATCTTCCAAAACTCAATAAAGAAGAAGCAGAAAGCCTGAACAGACCAATAATAGCAAAAGAAATTGAAGCAGTAATCAAAAAAAAAAAACTCCCAACACACAAAAGCCCTGGATCAGATGGTTTCACAGGAGAATTCCACAAAACATTTAAGGAAGAACTAACCCCTATCCTTCACAGACTATTCCAAAATATCCAGAATGATGGAAGACTCCCAAACTCTTTTTATGAAGCCAGCATCATCCTAATCCCACAACCAGATAAAGACACAACAAAGAAAGAAAGCTTCAGGCCAATATCACTGATGAATATAGACTAAAATCCTCAACAAAATACTGGCAAACCACATCCAACAATACATTAAAAAGATCATACACCGTGACCAAGTGAGATTCTTTCCAGGGATGCAAGGATGGTTCAGATTCGCAAATCTGGAAATGTAATACATCACATAAACAAAAGTAAAGACAGAAACCACATGATTATATCAATAGATGCAGAAAAAGCATTTCATAAGGTACAGCACCCATTTATGATAAAAACACTCAGCAAAGTGGGAATAGAGGGAGGATCCCTCAACATAATAAAGGTCATATAGGAGAGACCTACAGCCAACATCATACTCAATGGGAAAAAACTAAAATCTTTTCCACTAAGATCAGGAACAAGACAAGGCTGTCCACTTTCACCACTTATATTCAACATAGTATTGGAAGATGTAGCCACAGTGATCAGACAAGAAAAGGAAATACAAGGCGTCCAAAATTGGAAAGGAGGAAACAAAACTGTCATTGTTTGCAGATGACATGATAGTGTACATAGAAAATCCTATAGACTCGACCAAAATAGCTGCTTGACCTAATAAATGAATTTGGTAAAACAGCAGAATACAAAGTCAGTATCCAGAAATCAAAGAAATCATATTTTTGAATACCAACATTGAAACAGCAGAAACAGAAATCAAGAAAAAATCCCATTCAGTATAGCAAAAAAGAAAATAAAATACCTAGGAATAAACCTAACCAAGGAGGTAAAAGACCTGTATGCAGAAAATTACACAACACTGAGGAAAGAAATCAAGGAAGATACAAACAAATGGAAATATATACCATGTTCTTGGATTGGAAGAAATAACATCATTAAAATGTCCATACTGCCCAAAACAATTTACAGTTTCAATGCAATACCCATTAAAGTATCTCTGTGTAGGATCCAATCTCATCCTACACAAACATAGAACAAACACTCCAAAATTTTATATGGAACCATAAATGACCCCAAATAGCTGCTGCAATTTTCAGAAAGAAGAGCAAAGTAGGGGGGATCACAATACCTGATACCACACTGTATTACAAGGCCACAGTAATCAAAACACCATAGTACTGGCATAAACACAGGCACATGGACCAATGGAACAGACCAGAGGGCCCAGGAATAAACCCAAGTCTCTATGGTCAATTAACATTTGACAAAGGAGGCAGCGACATAAAATGGAGTAAAAGTAGCCTCTTCAACAAATGGTGTTGGGAGAACTGGGCAGCTATGTGCAAAAAAATGAAGCTCCAGCACCAGTTTACACCATACACAAAAATAAATTCAAGGAGGATAAAAGATTTAAATATAAGCTGTGACACCATTAAAGTCCTAGAGGAGAACACAGGCAGGAAAATCTCAGGTATTTCACGCAGCAACATTTTTACTGGTATGTCCCCTAGAGCAAGAGACATAAAGGAAAGAATAAACAAATGAGATCTCATCAAAATAAAAAGCTTCTGCACTGCTAAAGAAAACAGTATTAAAATAAAAAGAGAACCAATTGTACAGGAAAGCGTATTTGCCAATGATACCTCAGACAAGTGTTTAATCTCCAAAATATATAAAGAACTTACACAATACACTCTAAGAAGACAAGCAACCCAATTAAATAATGGGCAAAGGACTTGAACAGACACTTCTCCAAGGAGGACATACAGAGGATCCAGAGACACATGAAAAGATGCTCAGTATCGCTAGCTATCAGAGAGATGCAAATTAAAACCATAATGAGATACCACTTCACACCAGTCAGAATGGCCATCATAAACAAAGCAACAGACTAGTGTTGGAGAGGTTGTGGAGAAAAGGGAACCCTAGTGCACTGTTGGTGGAATTGCAGACTGGTACAACCAATATGGAAAACAGTATGGAATTTTCTCAGAAAACTAAAAATAGATCTGCCTTTTGACCCAGAGATTCCACTGCTAGAATTATATGCTATTAGGCCCGAAACACCAATCCAAAAGAACCTATCACCCCAATGTTCATAGCAGCACAATTTACAATAGCCAAGTGTTGGAAGCAACCTAGATGCCCTTCAGTAAATGAATGGATAAAAAAACTATGGTACATTTACACAATGGAATTCTATGCAGCAGAAAGAAAGAAGGAGCTCCTACCCTTTGCAACAACATGGGTGGAGCTGGAAAGCATTATGCTAAGTGAAACAAGCCAGGAAGTTAAGGACAAATACCATATGATATCACCTTTCACAGGAACCCAATCAACAAAACAAACAAACAAGCAAAATATAACCAAAGACACTGAACTTCAGAGCAGATTGACAGTGACCTGAGGGGAGAGGGGAGGAAATTTCAGGGGGAAAGGTAAAGGGTTTACAGGAACAAGTATAAAGGACACATGGACAAAAACAAGGGGGGAAGTGGAAATGGGAGGGAGGTGGGGAGGGCTGGGGGTGGGCTGGGATGGGGGTAAAAGGCAGAAAACCATACTTGAACAACAATTAAATTTTTTTAAAGTATACTAGTTGAATAAATAGATAATACTGTTCACTCTGACCTAATGTCCTCATGTGGGCATAAAGTGAAGTAAAGTGATTCTTCATTTGGGGAAGTCTTGAAGTGCACAGTAGCACATCTTCCTGTGTAAAAGCATTTAAAATCACCGGCAAGGAGGCTTCCAGTACAAATACTTGTTACTAAGCAAATCCTAAAAAGAAGAAGTGGTGTCTCTGAGAAGTTAATTATTGGGCAGATTTGGGGAGGAAAACACCCAGACCAGAAGTTTCTTAAGCCACCTCCTCCAGGGCACAACACATACTTAAAACAGGGAGTGTTTTTAACATATACAGACCAAGATCAGATGTCCTCCGTGGCTGTGTCTGCACCATGAGAAACAGGTAGAATTATAACAGTGACAGCAGACAGTTAAAGCTATCTGGGAACTCTCTATCCAGTTTGAAAATATTCCCTGTTCTTCTTCGTATCGATAGCTTGTGTTCCCACTGTTTTTATAAGAAACAAAGGAAAGAAATTTTAAGAAGGGTATTAGCTCATTTGTATTAACTCTCAAAGGAAAAGTCAGTGAAAGTCACTCCTAGGGTAAGGTGGGGATGTAAAAGAGTTCTGATTTTACTACCTGTATTAGTTCAGTTCACCAGAGAAACAGCCAATAAGGTGGAGGTGGTATGGATTTAAATCACTATGCTTCACATTATGTCCCATGCATTTAAAAGCATTGGTTCATTAAATCTGTAGGACAGGCTGGCAGGCTGGGAGCCCAGGGAAGACTTTCACAGCTGAATTCAAGTCCAAAGGCAGTCTGGAGGCTGAATTACCTCTTCCTCAGGAAAGGCCAATCTTTTTTCTCCCCCACGTTGGATGAAACCCACCCAGATTATGGAGGGTGATATGCTTTCTTCAAAGTCTACTGATTTTACTGTTAATCTCATCTAAAAGGAAAATAAACCTTCACAGCAACATCTATCTACATTAGGGTTTAAACAATTGTCTATGTGCTATGGCCTAGCCAAACTGGAACATAAAATTAACTATAATACCACTTATATTACTTTTTTTCAGAAGAATAAACAACAAAACTATCTGAAAACTCTTCTACACTAAGAGAAACATCATCCTTTAGCCTATAGGCTTTGTGTGGGTCATGGAATGATTTAAAAGGCAATAACAGTGAAAGAGTAAAAACCAGTATCAGTGAGATCAGCTGAATTCTCATTGGTGTTTATTTCCTTTAATGCTTACATGTTACCTAGTAAGTTAGGTGTTCTTTACATATTGTCTTTATTAGTTATAATTTGTTTCCTGATTTTTATAAAAATAGCCACATTTCTTATCATCTGAATTTGGAACATTATTATTGTTTTAATGCTGGGCATGTTTTGGGAAAATTCTGGAAAGACACACAGACCTAAAAAGACTTTCATGAGGTTCATGGCTCACAAAAATGGGCACAGGCTTTTATAAGTGGTCCATTCACTGCCTACAGGGAACATTTCATTCCTTTGTACCCGTCATGGCTTTCACACCACAGAGGGCAAACAAGGGCTGGGCCCCCATGCATGACATGGGGGCCAGGAGCTCCAGCCACGGTGCTGTACTGGAGAGGCCACTGACCCAGGAGATAGTGGCTCTACCTGCAGGCACCTTAGTTCTCACTCCTCACCTCTCATCAGCTCCCCTCTCTTGATTCCAGGGCTCAATGCCCTGCTCATCATCATTTGAGGACTCAAACTTTAGGCTGTATGACTCCAATACCTATGCTATCTATACCTATGTGTGACTCCAATACCTATGCTACCTATGCTATCTGAAACTGTGTGGTAAACAGCAGAAGTGATCCTGGAAGAGAAATCCTCAATGCAGATTTCTGTCATTGCCAGAGAACATAGAACCTGGGTCTAGGCAAAGGCACGCCAATCTGAGGACTTTCTCCATTAAGATGTAGTACCTCCACTGGGAGAAGTGGAATGTCTAGGATATGTCCCTATTACCAGCCATCTGTGTGCTTTTTGTCCCCTTACCTGTAACATCTGGCATTCCCTGAGGACTGTATATGTCAGTGACTCCTCAGGGAGGCTTGGTACGTAGAGGAGAAAGGCCTATTCCTCCATTCCCAGTAAGTTCAGGGGCCTCCAGGAGCTGCTGGGAGCTGTGGGCTGCAGGGCCAAACCCACCTACAAAAGGGGCAATGGCTGTGCTGACAGGGATTGATACTGGAACTCGACTGTCCTCCACTTTGTCATCTCTCTGTCTTTCTGCCCCAGGACTCTTGGCACTGCTGCTGTTGACACCAGGAGCAGCACCCCTGAACCCTGGAGGTGAATCTCCCAGGCATCCCATTAGTGACATAATCTGGGGAGTCATGCTGGGGTCTGGGGACTCTCAAGAACCAGTGGGAAAGGAGGCTTCTTCTGCAAGTGAGGAACAAAGATGGTCTTCTGGAGGTAAGAGTAGCTGTTTCTTCCTCCCTCCATGCCCAGAGTTTTGTGCCATTTTCTCTTCCAATGGCAGCCATCTCTTCACTTCCTTCCCCTTCTCTACTATGGACCCCTGGCTGGTGGCTGGCTTCATCCATTCCTTGAGTCTTTAACTATGGTCACCATTCACTCTGCCTTAGTCCCAACACCCATGCTTCATGGACCCCTCGAAACATTATATGTCAATTCCACCACAACCCCAGATTCAGCTCTTGACCTGGGCATCTGTCAGGTTGAGGAATTTCCCATCTTCGTGTCCTCCCATTCCATACACCTTATTCTCAGCTCTCCTCCAGTCAACTCCACCCCATCTAATCAACATTTAAGACAGATCTCCAGCCATTGCCGCCACCTGAACACAGAAGAGGAAGTCCTGTTACCCACGTAGGGACTAAACATGAATCCCTCAGATGTCTATCCACCTGCTTCCTCTCATGTGCTCGTGCTGACACCCGCAGGTGGGTCTTGGCCCTTAGAAGGGAAACATGCAGGTACAGAGAAGAGAACTCTGATCTGGGGAGACCAGTAGCCTACCCTGACTCATCATGACACTGTGAGTCCTTCCAGGCTCTAAAAGTCTTTGTTATGATCTCAACTTAAGTGGAACCTAATCAACAAAACAAACAAGCAAGCAAAATACAACCAGAGACTTTGAAATAAACAACAAGCTGACAGTACCCAGAGGGGAGGTGGGAGGGGGATACTCGAGGGAAAGAAGAGGAAGGGTCATCAAGGAACATGTATAAAGGACCCATAGACAAAGCCAAAGGGGGGCAAGACTGAGGGGGAGAACTGGTGGTCAGTGGGGTAAGGGAGACAGGTTGGGGGAAAATGGAGGCAACTGTACTTGAACAATAAAAAAATATTTTAAACTAAAAAAAAGGAAAGTTAAAAAAGAAGTCTTTGATCCCCTGATTGGAATGTACAGGACCATACATTTTTCCCTTCATTTTGAATCATTGTTGTGTTGCTGATTCTTACTAAGCTGTTGTTGTTTAAGCCAATAGTGTGCAGCCTCTGCTCTGGGGGTCTCTGAGCTATTCAGTGGGAAACTGGGTCATTGGCATCTGTCTCTCTCGTGTTTAGAGAACTGATAGGTAAGATGTCAGAAGCACTGCTGTGAGCAGTTTTGTGCCGCTTCCTCATTACATATCTACAATGGGTTCTGATAAGGGGTAGGAGTAGCATGACCCCCCCAGAGACACCTTGGGGCATCTGGAAAAGGTCCAACATTAGGAGCTGAGTGAGTGCCTGGTGAGGAGTGTGGGGTTTACTTGAACCACTGTGGGATAGAAGCCATCAATGGGCAGGGACTCAACCACCTGGCTCTAGCCTCGGGTGTGAATGATGATGTCAACCTGGAGATACCTCAGCCATGACTCCCCCCATTATCTCAGCATCAAAAAAGGACTTGAATGCCATTGTCATACTGACTAGAGCCCACCCTAAAGTCCCCAGTGGTGCTGTTTGGAGCTGAGTCAGTGGTTCCATGTACTCCTCAAGGCCTGCGAAGGGGATGCAGCCCTCCTCCCCACCCCATCATGACACAGCAGAGTGTTTGAGTCTAGGTGCCCTCAGGGCAGCCAGACAGCAGAGATGAGCAGACAGGTTAGTGGGCTCTGGAGCAGCTGGTTCTGACCAGCCCAGCCCCAGGAGTACCACCTAAAAGCTAGTTCTGCTCTGTCCCCATGGTTGTCACACTTGAGGCCAGGATTTCTGCCCTGTGTAAACTCGTGCCTTTTGGAGGTAATACTTTTACCTTGTTGTGTTCCAGGCATCAATGAATGTGTACCGAACTCAACAGCATCCTATGGAATGTATGCAGAGTGCATGAACAGAGAGGAGAGCTACTGCATTTGTAGCCCAGGATGTGGGCCTGTTTCTGAGGCAGGGTTCAGGAAGGAGAGTGAGAACACATGTGAAGGTAAGAAGGACACTGCATCTTCTGTTTCCCCATCTGTGGTGTTCAGGGCCACTCACTCCACTTTCCCCAGGCATCAGAGGGCCGTCCTGGGCATCTGCCTGGTGTCCCGACCCCAAAGCTTCACACTTCACACAGAGTGCCAGTTCCGCAATTTTGGAACATCCCCCTTGCCACATGCATTATTGGGGCAGGGGGGGGGGACAAAGAAAGAGGTGGAATTCAAGATAGTTCTAGAACTTACAGTGCACTGCCTTTCAACACAATGTTCATCCTCTTCTTTATCAGTGACTGTCAGAACTAGAGCTCCCCTGACTGGAACCCCCATGGGCTTGGCCATGCAAGGAGCCCTCTCAGACCCAGGGGCCATGATGAACCCAGGAACCCCATGCAGAAATGTGGGGGTAGAGAGATTGGATTGAGGTCCTACCTTATCCAGCCTGCCTTGCCTCTAGCCAACAATCCCACCTGGAAAAGACACCTCCCGGCTCCCTGACCTGGTTCTTTGGCTGCTCAGCCTCCAGCTATTTCCCCTGAATTTCCCAACAATTCAGCTCATGGACCTGTGGGCAACGCAGATGAGTGGGACCCAGGAGAATGTTGTGTCAGGGGTTGCAGGGTGACATGGATCCCCCCAAATAAACTCAAGAGTAAGATGAATGGAAGGTGCTCCCATCTGGGCTAAACAGAAAGAGAAGGTGTCATTGCCCCAGGCTGGACCCTCTTCCATGAGGTCAGCCCAGGCCCCATGATGACCTAGATGACAGAGGGACAGAGATGAATGCTATGCTCCACTTCAGCAAGGCACACAGGACTGCATCCCTGATGAGAGGCCATAGGCTAAGATGACAGCAATGCCTGCCACCCCTTCCCACAAGCACATGCTGTCCCTTAAAGCCATCCAGCCCTCACCCAAGGCTCCCTTGCTCAGATGTAGATTCTCACCACTTCCTGCCAGTCCAGAGGATGTTTTTGTAGTGATCAGAAAAGCACCTTTACAACCCCAAGGCTGCAGGATCAGATGTCAACCCCCATGTTCATTCCAGCCTCACACTCACTCAAGGTCTTAGTGGCCCTCACCTGTCTGGCTCATTGGTCACTCTCCACACCCATCTTGTAAGTCCTTTGAGGGACCTATGTCAAGAGTGGTTTTTGGTCCAGTTCCACGGATGGGAGAGCTCTGCCTCCCAGAGTCTCTGGGATTTCCAGAATTTAGGCAGAGATCAGCTTCCCTGGGGGAGGCAGGACACAGGCCATCACTGGGAGTCAAGATGGGTATTGCTCTGGGAACACAGCATTTCTCCTGCACTTGGTTCCAGGAAGACCCACCTTGGCCTTTGTCTAAATCCTCAGGCTAGGACTAAGGTGGCCACAACGTTCCCGTCCTACCTGGGACCTGCCCAGGTAAGCTGAGGGTCACAGGGCTGACAGGTGCTGAGACTTAGGCCACTTTTGGCCACTTCTAGACAATGCAGCATCGAGGCCACACATTCACCCACAGGGTGATGCCTCCATGTGAATAAGGAAAGAAAAGGCACCTACTCACTGGAGAAGAGAGAGTAGAGTGGGGCTTTCACGAAGCAGATCTGTGCCATTGCCAAAGAACAAGAACCTGGGTCTGGGCAAAGACACACCAGTCTGACGACTTTCTTCTTCAAGATTTATTCCCTCCATTGGGAGAGTTGAGAGTTCCTAGGATGTGTCTCTGTCAGCAGTCTGTGTCATACATTTAAGTATGACCACACATATGATGGTGGTCCCATAAGATTATAATGGAGCGAAAAGGTTCCTGTCACTTAGTGACATAATAGCTTGTGGTAACATCACAGAGTGACACATTACTCACCTGTTTGTGGTGATGGTGTAAACAAACCTACTGCACTGAAGCCATGTAAAAGTATAGCACGTGCCATTATATAAGTACATGATACCTGATAGTGATAATAAACAACTGTTTCTAGTTACATATTTACTAGTCTATAGTTTTTTTATTATTATTCTAGAGTGTACTCTTTCTATTTATAAGAAAATGTTTGCTCTAAAACAGCATGCTGTGTCATGCTGGCAGCAGCCTCATACATCTCATGTTCACAATCCCCTCATTGCATCAGTGGATCTGTGCTTGATTCAATCCCATGTTGTTTTGTTCAACATGGCCCCTAGTTATAGAGGATTCACTGCTCATGCTGGCAGTAAGAGGTCACCTTGAGTGACAGATCTGGAGATGAAATTAAAAATCAATAAGGACTAGGAATGTTGAAAATCAGTGTTGGTTCTTGCTCAGCAGTCAGGCATGTCCCCATCCACCATGGCTATAATCTTAAAGGGCAAGAACAATGTGAGGCTGTCAAAACATCTGCTTCATTGAAGGCAACAAGACTAACAAAAATTCAAGAAGGGCCTATATCAAACACAAAGAAACTTCTAAAGACTTGGTTTGAAGACCAAACAAAAATTGTATCTCTCATAGCACTCTGATGTTCATGGACAAAGCAAAAACTTTGTTTGCAATGTTGAAAGAAAAGGCTGGGCTGGGCTACAGTATTAAATTTACTGCCAGTTCTAAGTGGTTTAAGTGCTTCCAGAATCATTGTGTGATGCGAAAGTGAGTGGTGAGGCTGAGTGCTGATGTGAAGGCAGCTGAAGAATGTTTTGGAGACTCCAGATAAACTGACTGTGGAAGAAAATTACCTGCCAGACCAAATAGGCAAAACAGATGAAACCTCCCTATTCTGGAAATGGATACCTGACAGGACATTTATCCATAATGAGGGCAAGTCAAGGTTAGGGCTCAAGGCTTTTAAGGACAGGATAAAGGTCATGCTTGGGGGCCATGCTGCAGGCTGCCAATGGAAGCCCTGTGTGACCTGGCAGTGAGAGGACCCCAGGGCCTTCCAGCACAGCAGTCAGCACACATAGCCAGGGCACTGCAAGGTAGTAAGAAGTCATGGATGACCCAGCTCCTCTTCCATGACTCCTTCATAAATTGCTATGCCAGTGAAATGGAGGAGTATGTTAGAAGAATAGTACTAAAATAGTAATAGAATTGAAGATTTTTCTTATTGTTGATAGTGCTCCTGGAAAATGCTTTCCCATGTAAAATGCACACTCATGTTTTGGCCCAAACTTCCAGGAAAATAACTTTCATTTAAAATGTTTAATTCAATTTTGTATTTATTTATATTTAGAAACAAAAGCAATTATTGCATTCCAGGGTATCATTTTGCATAAGGATATCCTTATTGCTTTCTAGAGTTACATTGTTAATGCATAAACATAAGTAAAAGAATTAAAAACATTTATATAGATACGGAATTAATACTACCCATGCACTACCCATGTACCCATGTGCATCCTTATTTTTCCCTCATAAATTTGGGCAAAAAAGTACACATTATACATGGTAAAATATGGTATTCCTTTTAATGGTGATCTTCTTCCTAATATTAATGTGGTATTTTGTCTCCCAACACTACCTCTTTAATTTAACCAATGGATAAAGGAGTTACAGCAGATTTTAAGCCTTGCTGCCTGTAGAGGAACTTTGCCCAAGTTATTGCTGCAACTGAGGAAGACACTAAGGAGACACAGACGCAACTGTAGAAGGGTAACCACACCTGTGACTGCATTGAGAACCTTGCATGGGCTTGGGGTGGTGTCACTAAGGAGCATATGAATGACATCTGAAAGAAGACATCAAGAGGTTCCCGTATGACTTCAAAGGACTTACCAAGGATGAGGAGGCTGCAGAAAATCAACAAGGCTGTGAATGAGATGGCAAACAACTTAAGCTGGGTGTGGAAGAGGAGGACGTGAGGGAGCTCAGAGCTCCTAGAGGTGGGTTCCAAGAACTGACTAATGAGGGGTGTGGGGAACTGGAACAGGAATGCAGAGCTGAGGAAGAGTCAAGAGAGAAGGAAGTGGAAGAAGAAAAAGAAGAACCCCTAAGAAGATTTCCATAGATATTAACCCCTTATCAAATGTATCACTAGCAAATATCTTTTCCCAATTCATAGGCTGTCTTTTTGTTTTGTTGATGGTTTACTTTGCTGTGCAAAAATCTTTTTAGTTTGATGGAGTCCCATTTCTTTATTTTTTCATTTGCTCCCTTGGCCTGAGGAGATGTATCAAAAAATACTACTGTGAGTAATGTCAGAGAGTTTACTGCCTCCCTTTTCTTTCAGGATTTTTAAGGTTTTGGGCTTGACACTTAAACCTTTAATTCATTTTGAGTTTATTCTCATATAAAGTGTAAGAAGGTAGTCTAATTTCAATTTTTTCATTTGGCCAATTTTCTCAACAGCATTTATTGTAGAAATTGTCTTTACCCCACTGTATATTTTTGCCTCCTTTGTCATAGATTAATTAACCACATAGGTGTGGGTTTACTTCTGAGCTCTCTATCCCATTCCATTGATCTAGGTGTCTGTTTTTATGCCAGTACAATGTTGTTTTGACTACTGTAACCTTGTAGAAGAGTTTAATATCAAGTAGCATGATACCACCAACTTTGTTCTTCTTTCTTAAGATTGCTGTGGCTATTCGGGACCTTTTGTGATTCAATATAAATTTTTAAAAAATTTTTCTAGTTCTGTGAAAAATGCCATTGGTATTTTTGGTTGTTTTTAATAGTAAATTTATCTGGGTGACATTGGTTAATAAGATTACATCGGTTTCATGTGTACATTTCTGTGATACATGATGTGTATATTGCATTGTGTGCCCACCACCCAAAATCAAATCATCTTCTGTCACCACATAATTGACCCCATTTACCCTTTACTAACTTCCTGTCCTAACTTTCCTCTGGTGACCACCATACTGTTGTCTGTGGCTATCAGTTTTTTTTTGTTTGTTCATACATTGCTTTCACTTTTACATCTCACACAAGTGAAATCATATGATTCTTAACTTTTTCTGTACAATTTATTTTGCTGGGCATGATATTCTCAAAGTCCATCCATGTTGTTGCAAATGGCATTTTCTTATGGCTGACTAGCATTCTACTGTGTATATCTCCTACATCTGTATCCAGTCATCTATCAAAGGATGCTTTGGTTGTTTCCATGTCTTGGCCACTGTGAATAATGCTACAGTGTACATAGAGTTGTGTATATCTTTGCAAGTAAATGTTTTCAAATGTTTCAGGTAGATACTTAGAAGAGGGGTTGCTGAGTCATGTGGTAACTATTCTCAATTTTTGCGGAAACTCCATATTGCTTCCCATAGTGGCTGTACAAGTTTACATTCCCACCAGCTATATATGAGGGTTTCTTTTTCTCCACAACCCCTCTGACACTTGTTATTACTTGTCTTGTTGATAATGGCTATTGTAACAGGTGTGACGTGGTATCTCATTATAGTTTTGATTTGCATTTCCCTAATAGCTAGAGCCCAGGGTAAGTGCCTGCAAGTATGTGAGTCTCTGTGCAGACCCTTTAAGAGGACACCTGGCTTTCCAAAAGCCGTTCATCTCACCCAGGTCGACAGAATTTTTGCTGGTTCTCACAGACAGATATGGGGGCTTTTCTACCCAGCACTGGTACTTCTGACTTGGGAGCCCACTGTGGGGCTTGGACTCCTCCCTTTTGAGGGGGGACCTCTGCAGCTGAGATGTCTATCTGAGCTCTCAGCTGCTGTACTGAGTGTGCAGCCAGCTCATCTCCACCCCCACCAGTCTTGATGTGGCTTTTTCTTTATTTCCTTAGTTATAGGACCTCTGTACAGCTAGTCTTCTCAGGGTTCTGAGCTGATTGTTCTGTAACTTAGAAGTAATTTTGATGTGTTCATGGTGATTAGAGTGTTTACCTACTTTGCCATCTTGACTAGAATGCGGTACCATACTGCTTTGATTACTTTAGGTTGGCAGTACATTTGAAATCAGGAAGTGTGAGTCCTCCAGATTTATTTTTTATTTTTAAGATTGTTTTGAGTATTTGGGATTCTTGCAATGCCCTATGAATTTTAAGATGATCTTGTGTTCTTCTGTAAAAATAAATAAATGAAATTATGTTGCAATATTGATATAGACTAAATTTAGTCTATAGATCACTTGGGGGACTGTTGCCATCTCCAATCCATTAACACAAAATGTCTTCTGATTTATTTATGGTTTAAAATTTTTCTCGGTAATATTTCTAGTTTTTCATGTACATATTTTAAACTTTGTTAGATAAAATATTCCCAATATTTGGTTGAATAATTGTGTATCTCTGTATATAAGCGATGTTGGTCTAGTTTTATTTTCTTGTGATGTCTTTACTTGACTTTGTTCTCAGGGTAATAGTGACTACTTAGAATAGACTTCTAAGCCATAAAATTACTTAGTGTTCCTTCCTCTTCTATTTTATGGAGAATTTTACAAAGAATTAGTATTAATTCTTTCATAAATGACTAGTAGAACTCAACAATGAAGCCATCAGTTATGAGCTTTATATTTTGAGGAGTTTTTGATTACTGGTTCAATCTATTTACCTGTTATAAGTCTGTTCTAACTTCTTATTTTTTATCAATTTATTGTTAGTAGTTTGTGTGTCTCTAGGAACTTCTATATTTCGTCTAGGTTATTTAAGCTGTTAAATAGCTGTTCATGGTATTCTTTCATAATTCTTTGTAAATCCCTAAGATATATATGCTATTATTATGTATACCAAATATTATGTGTGATATTGTTATTATGTGTGCCAAATAATACCATTCTACATAAATAATACCATTCTATATAAATAATATATGTTATTTAATATATAAAAATTATATATAATATATAGATGTTTTATATATTATATATAAGATATATAATATATTATATATCACACATTGTAATATACCCTATAATATATATTATGTGATATGTTGTATATTATATAATATTATAATATAATATATTGTATAATATATTATATTATATATAATACCCTGTATATATAATATAATATATTATATAATATATTATATAATATATATAGATATAAAATAGGGTATTATAGCAACCATTGCAAGTGCAATTACTAATCTAACTCCCTTATGTAACTCCCACAACTCACAGAACTGTCCCTGAAGGTAAAGGAACAAGGACAAAGGAGTGTCAGCTTAAGTGTCAGACAGGCAAAGATGCTGCTGAACTGGGATATGGTACAGGAATCTGGGGACTCAGGTAATGGCTGAAATGGGGAGAAGGTCACTGAGGCTTCACAGTGGGACAAGATGCCCAAGGATGAGACAAATGGAAAATCAAAGTCTAAAGGAAAGTGAGGGCTATGGTGGGTCCACAGGAAAGATTCTACCTGAAGAAGAAGAGGTCCTATTGGGCACCCCAAGATGTCAACCTTAACCTTGCCCTTCGGGCCCTTCTGTCGTGGGCCTCATCTCTACTCCAGGGATGGGCAGGTTGCTGGCAGGGGTCCCCCTTGTGCTGGAAACTGAGGGACCAGAAGTTCTGCATGAGACACACACAGGCTTGCTGCAGGGGGTCTCCCCCATCTTGCTCTCAGATGTCATCTCTGTCTTTGTGAGCAACAACAACACCCAGAACCTCAGCTCCCCAGTCACCTTTGTCTTCCAGCATGTGAGTCCTGTGGGATGGGACTGTGGATGTGGAAGAGGCCAGAGTCTTGGCACAGTCTTGAGGCTCCAGGGGCTCCCCCATGGGTGCATCATCTCCCTAGGAAAGCCCTTCACAAGCGAGATCTGGGTCAGCATTTCTGGGTGCCAGAACCACCAGCTCATACCTGTGCCCTGCTCCTACAGTCAGTGACCCCTGGGCCAAGGCAGCAGGTGCTCTGTGTCTTCTGGGAGCATGGCCAGAATGGAAGTGGTTATTGGTCCATCAAAGGCTGCAGGATGGTGGGCTCCAGAGACACCAGCACCACCTGCCAATGCACCCACCTCAGCAGCTTTGCTGTCCTCATGGCCCAGTATGACGTGCAGGCGAGAGATCTAAGAGAAGGTGAATTCAATATCTATTGCTGTGTAATAAATTTAAACAGATGTCCCACCTTTAAACACACACACACACAGACACACACACACACACACAAATTTGTTATCCTGAAGAATCCTCAGGTCGACCATCTAACACAGTGTAGCTGGGTTGTCTACTCCAGGTCTCACAAGCCTGTAATGACTGTGTCTGCCAGACCTGTAATCTCATCTGAGTCTAGGAGTTCTCCTCTAAGCTCCCTGGTTTCTGGCAGAATTCAGCTCCTTGCAGTTGTAGGACTTATTTCTCACATCCTTACTAGCTGGAAGTAGGGGGCCGCACTCAGCTCTGGGGGCTACCTGCATTCCTCCCTATGCAGCCCTCTCCTCTCCTCATTCTCCCACAGTATATCAGTATTCCTACCTGGAGGCCAGCAGGAGAAGCTCCTTCACATGAAAACTCAAAGTTTGAATCATTTTTTCCAAGAGCCGAGATCAGTTCAGGGCTCATCTGATTAGGTCTGACCCACCCAAGATAAACTCCCTCTCTTCAAGTCAATTGACTGTGGATCTGAATTCCACCCAGACTGCCTTCACAGAAGCACCCAGATGGCATTGGACTGACAACCTGGGAGCAGTTATGCATACACATGTGGGTAGGGTTATGGTTGCTAAACTAAGATTCTGCCTACCAAGGATCTTCAGGACAGCAGTAATCAGGGGCAGCAGAAAGGAGGATATGGTGATGGCAGAGGTCAGAAAGGGCTGGGGAATCCAGTGAGTACAGGTGAGTTAGTGGTTGTGTTTGCCTCCTCCCCTGTCCAGTTGAGCTGGTTACTTCTTTTGTTCAACAAAACCAGAAGCTTACTCAGGAGACTTCAGGTAAGGGGGCATTTACTGAAATAGATGTGGCACCCACATGAAAATAACCATGAAGAAGATAATAGCCACACGGCCAGATCTCACAGAAGCTTCCAGAAGTGTGAACACTAAAAGACCATATTTCCTCCAGCCACAGCACTAAATAACACAATATTCATACTTGTATTGACGTACCATTTTATATTTACTGAAGACTTAAAATATTTGTGTTTCAAATTCCAACAGAATGAGAGAGAAACACTGAAGATTCTTATCTCATTCCCCTAATCCCAACACCTAGTTCTTCTTGCCTCAACCAACCAAAGTTGTTAGTTTCTCCTGCAATTTTCAGTGGATATTTTATACATACAGGGTGGGTCAAAAGTAGGCGTCCAGTTGTCTGTGTGGAGAATAACACAATATAATAAGTAGTAATATAAGAATAAATGCTGCATTTCAGGTACTCTCAACCTATTTTGTAAACCTATTTTGCCTACCCTGTGTAACAGTAATGCGGGTACTTGTTCTTTGGTCTTCTTCTTCTCAAAGACTTGGTGCTGTGTTTTTTTCACTGTTGCACAAATTGTGTTTTATTTATTACATCTAAGAAACTTTCTATTCTAGCCTACAAAGAGACACTTTATTACCTTTATTGCCAAATACTGTTTTGTTCTGTGAATGCACCATAAATTATAATGAAGGCCTCTCATAGTGGGGTTTTGATCATCTCCTAATAAATAATGTTGCAATTATCTTCACACAATTCATTGTTCTCACATGATAACCTACAGCTTAGTCATGCAAAAAGTGCAAAGGAAAATAAACCCTGTGAATTCCAAGGATCGGTCTTGAATGAGGACTCTCCTATACCTCAATTTTCCAGCGTCTGAATTAATCAGTTCAGAACCCTAAAAAATTCTAACAATATCCATAAATATCTAAAATTTACCTGGTTCCACCTCCACTCCTAGTTTTGTTGTACTGCTCCCACACACACACAAAAAAAAAGTACTAAAAATGGTGGAAGTGTCATTACCACAGAGCAGGACAGTGTGACTGGTATCTCCTCTTTTCTGGGTCCCAGGAGGAGGATCCTGCCCTGGCTGTGATCACCCACATGGGACTGAGCCTCTCTCTGCTGTGCCTCTTCCTGGCGGCCCTCACCCTCCTGCTGTGCAAAGCCATCCAGAACACCAGCACCTCCCTCCACCTGCAGCTCTGCATCTGCCTCTTCTTGGCCCACCTGCTCTTCCTCACGGCCATTGACAGAACAGAGATTAAGGTACTGACATCCCCAAGGACCCTTGTCCTGCCCAGGGGATGTGGAATTCATGTGGCCATGCTGCATCAGACCCCTTAATAAAATGTCCTTGGGTTCTGGGAAGGTTAGAGGGATGAGTAGCCAATTTCACACTGACTGACCCAACTAGCAGACACACCCTCTTTTGATAATTCCTTCATATACAGCAGAGGTCTTCCCAATGGCATGGCATAGGATAGGTCCTGGGGCCATACTCCACCCTGACAATCCCACCTGGTGATTCTGACTGCTTCCCCAGGTGCTGTGTGCCATCATTGCGGGTGCCTTACACTACCTCTACCTGGCCTCCTTCACCTGGATGCTGCTGAAGGGCCTGCACCTCTTCCTCACTGCATGCAACCTCACTGTGGTCAACTACTCCAACGTGAGCAGTTCATGAAGAAGTTCATGTTCCTTGTGGGCTATGGAGTCCCGGCTGTCATTGTGGCCATTTCTGCAGCATCCAGGCCTCAACTTTATGGAACATCTGCCCGGTAAATTAAAGTTCACACTGGTCTTATCTTCTCCATATGACCAAGGCCAGCAGAGAACCCATGTAGCACTTTATTTTCACTAGACTATGATAAACAGAGAAAAACACAGTAATCACCCAAAAGCATATTCCTGGTTTCATGATTGTATTCCTTGAAAAAATGTTTTTAAGAACTTGAAATTTCATTGATTTAAATATTAATTATGTAGTATGTTAATTATATATTTTTATAATGATTGTATTATATTAAAAACTAACACTATCATAATAATGAACACTAACAATTATAAATTAATATGTTGATAAAATAAATGAGCTGGCATATATCTTTTAGATTTAATTATTGTAACAATTATTTAAATCAATTCTATGTTAATGAATCTATTACATTAACAAACATGATACATAATATTAATCCCATCTTATATATTAGTAAGTGTATATTAATATAATATTCATTACATTTAATGTTTAAAATCTTCTGGAAAGCAAACTGGAAATGAAGGAATGGCATTGGTTAGTGTAACTTACTTCTCTCCTTAGTTTAAAAGAAAAAAGAGGATGATTTAGAAAATAAAACTGTGATGAGCAGAGCTAAGATTTAGAGATGGCTTCTGACATGCAATCATTGTTCTGAACAGTTTTCACGTACTCAAGTCATCATCCCAACAACCTGCTGGGGCAGAAACCAGTGTTATACAAGTTTTGTGGATGAGGAAACTGGGGCACGGAGATGACTGACATGACCCAGATCATACAGCTGGTTGGTGGCAGAGCTGGGACCAAATCCAGACGGTGTGTCATTTACATATTCCTATGCTGATAAAATTAATGTTTGCTGACATCAGAGGAGCCCTGGCCAGCTTGCCCTTCTATATAACTTGCACCAAAGTCAGCAGATCTTATCTCCAAAGGACCAGAGTAAATATTGCAGCTTTGTGGACCATGTGGTCTCTGTTGCGACTACCCCTGTCCTTGTAGCACAAGAGCTGCCATAGACAATATGGAAAGGGAATGAGTGCAACCGTGTTCCAGTAAAACACATGTACAAAGTCGGGTGGTGGCTCCATTGCCCCACAGGGTGCAGTGTACAAACACAGCCTCAGTAGTGTTCACTTTGAGTCTTCTGGTGGATCCATCTAGCTCCATGGTACTCACACCTCCCAACTCATTCACAAGCATCTCACTTGGGATCATTTCCAGTTCTATCATTTCTATCACTGTGGCCTTGAGTTACTATGTTTTCTCAAGCATCATATGCCAACCTGCGATCACTTGAGTTTCAATGTTGTCATGAGGAATAAATTATATAATGCACATGAGACTGAATTACTACTATTAGTCTATTGTTATATTTTTATTGTCATTTGGCATGTCCCCAAATTTTCTAACCTTCTTTACACCTGCTCATGCTTCACATCTCAGATTGAAGACAATCAGTTCTCTCAGGGACCCTTCCCAACTACATGAACCTCCTATACCCCAGACTAGGCTATTGCTCCAGCTACCTGTTCTCATAGCTCCTCACACTTGATCACAAAACTCATCATCTTGATTGTTTCTATTGTCTAATTGGTGACCTTCCCACCCAGGTGGGGCCTCCCTGAGGACTGAGACCAGTCTATCTTAATTGCAATTGGATCTTCAGGCCATCACAGATCCTAATAGAGAGGAGACACAATATTTGTCCAATAAATTATAAATGAATTTACTAATTGATTCTTGTCTTTTCATTAAAAAACATATGTTTTTCTGCTAGTATATCTGGGGTCCAAGACTTAAAATACTTATTTAAAACAAATTTATCTTTTCTTAAAACCACATTATTATGGCATGATTGATTTGTAAAACTCTGTACATAGTTAATACATGTAACCTGATGAGTGTGAAGGTAAGGAAACAGCCAGGACTATTACCATCATCAAAGCCACACCTGAAGTTTCAGTTATGAAAGAAAAATAAGATAAGGAGATCTATAGAACATGGTGCCCATAATTAAGAATACTCTACTCTTCCTGGCTGGTGTAGCTCAGTGGATTGAGTGCGGGCTGTGAACCAAAGTGTTGCAGGTTCGATGCCAGGGTACATGCCTGGGTTGCAGGCCATGACCCCCAGCAACCACACATTGATGATTCTCTCTCTAACTCCCTCCCTTCCCTCTCTAAAAATAAATAAACAAAATCTAAAAATCAAAAAGAGAGTACTCTCCTGTATACTTATAATTTACTAAGAGGGTATGTCTTAGCATAAATGTTCTTACTAAAAAAGCAATATTAATATTAATAGTAAAGGAGGCAGAAGAAAATGTGGGAGGTGAAGGATATGTTAATTTATTCATTGTTTATCCACAAAGGCAAATATCTTTTTCAATCCCTTTCCATCCCTGTCCTAGATGCTGGCTCCACACACAACAGGGATTTGTATGGACCTTCCTTGGCCCCATCTGCATCATCATCTCTGTGAGTAAAGGATGACATGAGAGCATCCCTCCTGCTCAGCTAAGGGTCAATCAAAGAGCAGGTGTAGAAAAGGGGTAACAGGCAGCATGAGCAAACATTCTGGTTTTCCTGGGACCGATGGGGCTTACAGAAGGCAAAATATCTGGTTTAAAACAAGGATGCAAAGGTTTCCTGAGACATTAGACTTTTAGTGCTGAAATGGGGGAATTCCTGTGTAAACTAGGACAAGTTGGTCACCCGAGTTACAGGACAAGAGGGACCAAGATTTACTGAATGGGTGGTCACTTTTTCTATGACTGCTATGAAATGTGAAAGCTTCCTACCTACTGAGTTAGGTGTTCAATGAGCTAGGAGGAAGCTATACACATGTGGCATGTATTCAATATGCCTTGTGGGATTTCTGCAGATTAACTGGGCTTTCTTTCTGATAACCATCTGGATTCTGAAAAACAAGCTCTCCTCCCTCAACAGTGATGTGTCCACACTCCAGAACACAAAGTGAGATGGGTCAGAGGGGCACACCACCCCACACAAAGCAGGGTCCAGGAGCAAGGCCCTATGGTTCCAAGCTCCTGGTGTCCTTTCACAGGGATTCTGAGGGAACAGGAGGAAAAAGGCAGCCACCCTCCCTGGAAACCATGCTCAGATACTGTGCTTTGCTGCCAAAATGCAAGCCAAAAATATTTCATTTCTCCATAAATCCAACATGAAATTACCTAGTTACAGAGAGATTGACTTTGTTCTGTTAAATGTGGATTACTTACATGGCTTTATGAAAATATCCAAAGAATGTTTGCATCTTTATAAACCCTTAGGAAATCACCTACCTGTTCCCAGAACCCAGCACACACCTTCATGCACACACCTTCATGGAGGCTGTTCCCTCTGTCCTCTTCACTCCTACACCTACTAAAATCAGGTTCTTTATGCACATGCCACATCTTCTGAAAGGCTTGGGTTGTCCTTTACTTTCCCCAACTTTACACAGAATGAATGGTCTCTATTCTGAGCAAAACATACCTGGTGGCAGTTCACAAAGAGAGAGAAGACAGGACCAGTACTGGATGGGACCCAGGCAGAGGTATCTCACACATCACAAATATTATAAGTGGCAATTTCTTCTATGAAACTGCAAGGTCTGTGAAGACAGAAATTGTCTTTCATATTTTTAAACCCAAGACCCAGCACAGAGTCAGGTACATAGAACATCGTCAGTAATGTCAGTTGAATGAAATTGGGGACATTCATGATACATCACGATCATTTTGAAACTCATATTATGAATTATCACTACTTCAGTCCAAGTCAAAATACCATGACAGTTCCTAATTGCATTTTTTTAGAGAATCATTGGGAGTAAAAATCAAAGTGGGTCACAATTCAGTCACATTCATCCATGGGGTGGAGATGAGAGTAGCCTTTATTCTGTTGCTCTGGGTGCACCATGGGCTGCCCTTCTCCTTCTACCCAGGATGCTGACATTTAAAGCAATGGCACAGCTCTTCATCTTGGGCTGCACGTGGTCTCTGGGAATCCTGCAGGTAGGCCCAGCTGCCCCTCCCATGGCCTATCCCTTCACCATCATCAACAGCCTGCAGGGCGTCTTCATCTTCCTGGTGTACTGTCTCCTCAGCCAGCAGGTACCACATTCTGACTTCCACCCAGCACCCTTTCTATTCTCAGTCCTCTCAGTGAGCTGACTCAGAGCATGCTTTGCCTCTACAGGTCCGGGAACAATACAGACAATGGTTGAAAGGAATCAAGAAAACCAAAGTGGACTCTGAGAAGTATACCCTCTCCAGCATGGCCATGTCTGAAGCTTCCAAAGACAATGTGGTAGGTCCTGCATTGCTCCCAGAGCCCTTCACAAACTGATCCACTCAGGTAGCTCATGTCCATCACACTGGACAACCTGCATGTATAGCAGGACATGCCTTAGCACAGCTCCCACTGCCCTCAGTTGTGGGCTCACTCCAAGGCATTTTCTTGTCATGAATAGAGGTCTTCACATACTTTCACTCACTGTGTTTCTGTGCTCACCTTAACCTTACAGATGATCATCTTCTCACTCCCCATGTGTGTAGAACACCCACTTTGTGTGACATGGTATATGTGGTTTTTAATCTTAGTAAGTGAGAAGACACAAAACTTCCTCATAAGCAGAGAGAGAAGCTACAGTCAGCTCAACAAGCAGGAAACTAGTGATGTGAAGCTGTGATGCTCAAAGTGCACAGTCACAGCACCACCCTTTGTCCCAAGTCATTCCAGGCTCCTCTCTATATGAAGAACAAAAAACACATGGTACATGTCACAACAGGGAAATAGGTGTTAGGTTGGATTTCAGATTTTCCATCAGATTCTGCTATAATTTCTCATGTTTTCAATACATACAAATAAGGCAAAGCCAGGACAGAGAATTGCAGAAGGCTGAGGAGAGGTCCTGGCAATGGGAATGAACATTTGTACCTTCTGGTTAACAAAACCTTGTCTCATGCTTTCTTTCACATGTTCTTCACATCTGCACTTGGAGATAAGTATTACTATGTTCCCACTTGGTAGGTGAAGAAAGTGGGACTCGCAGGATCTATATGAATTGTGCGAGGTTTTCAGACAATTCATTTTTTTTCTCCCAACTTTCATGGGCCCACCACAATGCCTGCCAAGCCTGATGCATTTTACTCATCCACTTGTTTGTCCAACACTCTACCACTGCTCCTTACAAAATTCTTCACTCCTAAAAAACCCTCATTTCTCTACCTCCTCTTCCCAGCAAAAGTTTCTACCAGTCTCTTTCACAGCAAATGAAGTCAGCAGGATGAAGCAAAGTCAACTTTGTGCTCTCAAAACACCAGGCACTCAACACCTGGTTCATTCTCTCCTCATGCAATCCTATTGCCACAAACAAAATGTGCTTCCGGATATTAAGGCTAATCTTTCTACTCCATTTTGGTTCCCAATATTCTTGATTTCCTCATTACTTTACTATTCATACATTCTCTCTCTGATCCTTGCACAGTCTCACCTTCTCAACAGCATCCTTTCCACCTTTATTGCAACATGGGAAATCTCTATCTTAATCCAAATTATTAAAGGTATACATTTGATTCCTCCCTCTTCTCCCTCGCACAATCAAAACTGGCATTTGCCTTCACCATTCCTGCAAAACAGCTTTCTCTTAAGCCTGCGATGATCTTCATATCACTGGATAAACTAAATATTCCTTGTCCTCCTGTGGGTTTTTTCCTTTGAATGTTTTATTTTTTAATATATTTTATTGATTATGCTATTACAGTTGTCCCATTTCCCCCTTCACTCCCCTCCACCCTGCACACCCTCTCCTACCCACTCTTCTTAGGGCTATGTGTGGGTGCTCACAGCCCCTGTGTGATTGTCTCTCAGTCTCACTCCCTTCTGTGCCTTCAAGCAGCAAGGCCTCCCCTGGTGCTGCCCTTGTTGTCCGGGGAGGGAGCAGTGACTCTGCTCTCCTGGGTGCCCTGAGGTAGACCCAGGAGCACTGGGCCTGGGGGCTGCAACCTTCCTGGTGCCTGTGCTGATCCCTGGGCCCTTATTATCCTGAAGCAGTCTCCTTACCATCTGGTTTTTCAATGTCTGCTATAATTGTTGATGTCCTGTTTTCATAAATGTTGAGATATTGTTGGCCCCTTGCTCTGTTCCTCCGCAGATCGTCCAGTTTCTCTCCCATGCATAGGGGAAGGGGAATACGCTCTCTTCTGCAACGCTGCCATCTTTCCCCTCCTCAAGTTTTTTTTTTAATTGATCATGCTATTATAGTTTTCCCATTTTTTCTCCCTTTATCCCCCCTCCTCCTCCACCTCCAATCCTCCCACATTCCCTAGTCCCCACTTAGTTCATGTCCATGGGTTGTACATATAAGTTCTTTGAGTCCTCTGTTTCTTATACCATTTTTTATCTCTCCCCATCTATTTTATGCCTACTAATTATGCTTCTTCTTCCCTGTACCTTCCCCTCCTATTCCTCCCTTCCCCCTCCCCACTGAACTGTGTGATGTCCATTTCTCTGATTCTGTTCCTGTTCTGGTTATTTGCTTAGCTTTTGTTTTCCTTGTTTTTCTTTTCTTTTATGTTCATTTGTTGATAGTTGTGAGCTTGTTGTCATTTTACTGTTCATAATTTTTTATCTTTTTCTTAGATAAGTCCCTTTAACGTTTCATATAATAATGGCTTGGTGATGATGAACTCCTTTAACTCGACCTTCTCTGGGAAGAACTTTATCTGCCCTTCCATTCTAAATGAAAGCTTTGCTGGATAGAGTAATTTTGGATGTAGGTCCTTGCCTTTTATGATTTCAAATACTTCTATTCAGCCCCTTCTTGACTGCAAGGTTTGTTTTGAGAGATCACCTGATAATCTAATTGGAACACCTTTGTAGGTAACTATCTCCTTTTCTCTTGCTGCTTTTAGGGTTTTCTCTTTGTTTTTAATATTGGGTAACTTAATGATGATGTGCCTTGGTGTGTTCCTCTTTGGGTTCAACTCCTTTGGGACTCTGGGCTTCCTGGACTTCCTGGAAGTCTATTTCCTTCACCATATTGGGGAAGTTTTCCTTCATTATTTGTTCAAATAAGTTTTCAATATTTTGCTGTTGTTCTTCTCCTCCTGGCACCCCTATAATTCAGATATTGGAGTGTTTCAGGTTGTCCCAGAGAATCCTCAGCCTCTTCATTTTTTTGGATTCTTGTTTCTTTGTTCTGATCTGGTTGGATGTTTATTTCTTCCTTTTGTTCCAAATCATTGCTTTGAATGCCGATTTCCTTCCTGTCATTGTTGGCTCCCTGAATATTTTGCTTTATTTCATTTTGGGTATCTTTCATCTTTCGACCAAACTCAATCAGTTCTGTGAGCATTATGATTACCAGGGCTTTAAATTCTCCATCAGTTAGATTGGCAATCTCATAGCTTAGTTCTGAGGCTTTGCTTTGTTCTTCCATTTGGCCATATTTCTTTTTCTTGGCACAGCTGAGAAGTTGCGAGGGGGCGGGGTTTTAGGTATTCCCTAGGGCAGGGCAACCCTCTTTGCTGCATTGCTTGTGGGGGAAGGGCCAGAGACAGAACAGTGCAGCTGGCCTGCTCATCTCTAGCACACTTTCTAAATATCTTCCACTGGGGCAACCCCAGCCTTAACCCACAGTCAGCTCTGAGTCTCAGTTTTCCCCTTAAGTCAGTCCCTCCCCATGCAGCACTTTCAGCTTGGCAGCCAGCCTCATCCCTCTGCTGTCTTGCCAGGGCTTTTCTGAGTCAGCCAGCGTTGTCCACCTTACAGGTCTGGTTGTTCTGGTTGATTTTTTAATTTAATTCCTTCGTTGTTGGAGTTCTATGCAGTTTGATTTTCTGGTGCTTTTGGTTGATAATTGATTTTATATTGGTTGTTATCCTCCTTTTGGTTGTGCGAGGAAGTGAAGGGTTTCTACTTACACCTCCATCTTGGCCGAAACTTGATTATATATTTTTATTAAAACTCCCTAAATTAGTCTTTATAAAGAACCTCATTTTGTCTTTCAGTTGAGGTTAAACACATATTAACAATTTCTTTGAACAGCAACTTTTTTGGGGTCTCATTACATAGCTTTGAATCAGATTACTTTCCTTCTGCAGTTTATCTGTTACATGTGCCCCAGAGAGAGTTTGTGAGTAGTAAAGGTGCTTAGATTTTGTTCACTTGAAAATGCCTGCATTTCACCATTTTTTTCCCATTTGGCTTTGCCAGTTAGGAGTAAATAAATACCCTCTTTTTTATAAAAAATATTTTATTTATTTATTTTTAGAGAGGGGACGGGAGGGAAATAAAGATTAAGTTCTAGTGTGAATGACAAAGACAAACAACAGTTAACCAGGGCAAGTGGGCTTGGGGATCTCCCAGCTCATTGCTCTAGAACGATGTCACTGAGTTATAAACTGCCATGAGACAAGGCTCTGAAGTGGGGTTCCACTTCTTGCCCTGCGGTTGTTGTTGGTTAGGAAGACAGCACTAGAGGCCAGAGAGAGATTGAAGGCAAGGGCTGCTCACCCAGGAGAAACCTGTTTCTTGGCAGAGAGTCTCTGAATGTCATGAAGTAAGAGAAAACTTGAAATGTAGACCAAGAAGCATATTGACACTGTTCTCACACCTAACCATGTTCACGAATGGGACACATAGTGCATTTAAAACTTAGTGAAGCCTAGAATGGTGTGGCTTGGTGGGTCACGTTGGTTGGGGGTGTGTGAGAGGCAACTGATGGATATTTCCGTCCCCCTCTTCCTCCTTTCCCCTCTCTATAGACAAACAAACAAACAAACATGCATAGTGTAGCCTATGTTTAAGAAGCCCCATGAAAGAAATGGAAGTGATGGCTCTTTGTGGTGTCACATTCACTTGACAGAACATAGGTAGAAATAGTACAGAAACACGAAAGTGGTGAAAGCTTCAGCTGTAGATTGATTCCACACATAGATAATTTGGAGGAGAATGTTGATTGTAACAAAGTCTTTGGTCTTTGCATTTTCCTCATTTGACAGGAGCAGCCTCCACCTGGGGAAAAACTCTGCACATATAATGAATGAACTTGGGAAACACTTCAACAGCATTAAACAAATTTTTCAGTATGAGAGAATTCATGCTGGAGGTGACCCCTACAAGTGCCATGAAGGTGGGAAAACCTTCCAAACTACTCACTTAATAGTGGGTGAGAAGATCCATAGTGGAGATAAAACCTATGCATGTAACAGATGTGAAAAATCCTTCAGATACAGCTCTGACCATATCAGGCACGAGAAGACCCACACCTCAGAGAAGTGCTTTGAATGTGAGGAGTGTAGGCATGCCTTCAAGTACTCCTTGAATCTGTGGAGCCACATGAGGACTCACATTGGAGAGAAGCCCTTTAAGTGCAGTCAGTGTGGAAAAACCTTCATGAGGAACTTCAACCTGATATTGCACCAGAGGAGCTACATAGGTGAGAAGCCCTATGAATGTAAGGACTGTGGGAAACCTTTTAACCAGCCGTCCTCTCTGAAGAGCCACATGCAGACTCACACTGGAGAGAAGCCCTTCAAGTGCAGTCAGTGTGGCAAAGCCTTCAGGGAGCATTCGTCTCTGAAGACTCATTTGCGGTCTCACACCAGAGAGAAACCATACGAGTGCAGCCAGTGTGGGAAGCCCTTTCAGACGGGCACCCATCTGAACGTTCACAAGAGGATCCACATGGGGGAGAAACTTTATGAGTATACCACTTGCGGTCAGGTGTTGAATCGTCTCTCCACCCTCAAGAGTCGCATGCGAACCCACACTGGAGAGAAGCCCTGTGTGTGCCAGGAATGCGGGCGAGCCTTTGGTGAGCCCTCATCCCTCAGGAAACACGCGAGGACCCACACTGGCAAGAAGCCCTATGCATGTCAGGTATGTGGGCGGGCCTTTGGCCAGTCTTCACACCTTATGGTGCACGTGAGAACCCACACTGCAGGGAGACCCTATGAATGTAATTAGTGCGAGAAGGCCTTCAGGCACAGCTCTTCACTTACTGTGCATAAGAGGACCCACACCAGGAGAGAAAACGTCAGGAATGGTTGCCTGCCTTTATCAGCGTCTCATACATTTGGTGGGCCCCTTGCTAATTAACTTCCAGTTTGTAAAAATAGAAACATTTGGGCCTGTGATCATTTCTCATAGTACTTGTTTAGATACTACATCACTTGTTTTGGTGTCTAATTTCATTTTTGTTGGATTCTAAATATTGTTTTAGTTACCATTATGATGAAATCTTTGACTCTTATTTGGAATTTGATTTTAAAATAACTGTACATAGTTATATTTTTGTAGAGGTATAATTACTTATAGTGGAATACATAAACCTTGTGAGTTGGATGGGTTGACAGATGTATACATACATGTAACCAACACCCATTGAATATATAGGTCATCTCTGTCATTCTGGAAAGTTCCTGCGTATATCTGGGAGTTTTACAGTTGCCTTTTTGTAACTGCTTATAATTTACTTGCATTGTAAGCAGAGTTTGTGGTCTTTGTGTTGTTGAATCTTAGGTATTTGTTGAGATTTGCTTTTTGGTCTAGTGTGGTGCATGCCAGTAGTTGCTAACCCAAAATGCCTCTTTTCCTTACAATATAACTTAGGTGTGTTTTTTTTTTGTTCAGATTGGTAATGTGCTCTATGAAAAAACCTCCATGGCCCAACCCTTCTGCAGTCAGAGAAGGCCACTCCCCACAGTGCTGGTCAGCATGAGAAGTTGTTGCGTGTGACTCCTCAGAAGGAAGTGGAAAAGGAGTGGTGTCATTCATCCAGATGCCTCCACTTGCATTTTGTACAAACAGATACACAATGTACAGTGCTAGAAGAGTCATTCTGTGACCACTAGGATTAAAGATACCAGCTAAAGAGAGTATGGCCAGAGGTCACAATCATTCTAGTTCCTCAGTTAGTGTCTTTATGTGTCTGCACCAGCCCTGGACTGTTTATTTCTGGACATGTTAGATGAAAAGGATGCACTTTTTGCTGGTATGTGATATGGGATCTTTTGAGAAAGGAGGTGGACTGGGGAAGGCAGGGAAGCGTTTCTTATAGTTGAATACAGTTTCTACCTGATGTACTTAGTGCATGGTCAGTTTTTGTAAGTGCTTCATGGTTGGTTGAAATCAATGTATTGCATCGACATGTCTACTAAATTGAGCATATTAGTTGTATTTCAAAATCTTTTGCACATTTATAAATATTGGTCTCTGTCTTATCTCAGGCTGCTGTAACAAAAATACCATAGATTGGGTGGCTTATGAACAACAGGAATTTATTTCTCATAGTTCTGGAGCCTGAAAGTCCAAGATTGAGGTGCTGGCAGATTTAGTGTCTGGTGAGGACCTGCTTCCGGCTCACAGTTGACCAACTTCTCTCTGTGTTCTCACATAACAGGAGTGAGGGTCCTCTCCAGGGAGCCTTTTATAAGGGCACCAATCCTCAGCCATCAGGGTTCCACCCCCATAACCTTATCACCTCCCAAAGGCCCCACCTCTAGATGTCATCACATTGTGGATGGCTTCAACCTATGAATTTGGGGACATACACATCAGTCCATAGGAGTCTCTGATCTGTTGTTCACTGAAGGAGCTACAGTGCACTCTCCTACCATGATTGTGGGTTTCTGAATCAGTCTTGTAATTCTGTCATTTTAAATTTATGTATTTTGAAGCTATGAGATTAAATAAACTGATAATTTAAAAATTGTGTTTATTTTTTAGAGAGAAGGGAAGGGAGGGAGAGAGAAATATTGATGCACAAGAGAAACATTGATTGGTTGGCTAGGCATGTGTCCTGATCAGAAATTAATCTGGTGACTTTTCAGTTTGCAGGACAATGTCCAACCCACTGAGCCAAACCAGGCAGGGCTGATTTTTGATATTTTATAAGTTCTGCAAATTGTTTCTTATAAAATGACCATCTTTCTCTCTAGCAGTGAATGTCCAACTACTCATCAACATACTAGCAAATAATTATTTAGACCTTAATATTAATTGATAGTATTTCCTGAAACTTTGTATCTTTTAAGTTATTTAGTCCCCACAGTGATACCAAGGGAAGGACTTTCATTATCTTCAGTTCACAGAGGAGGAAACTGAGGCCCAGTAGATGAGGTGAAAGAACCAAGGTTATGCAGGTGGTAAGTGACAGAGTCTGGATCCACATGGTCTCCACAGTGCTTTACCCAAGGGAGCTATTCTTCATTTTCACCTGTTGTCACAAAGTTCTGTTTCTGCGTTTTAACTGAGGTATAACTTATGTTACAGTTCATAAATTTTAGTGCCCACCTTGATGAATTGTACATATGTCTGTACCATTCACATCAAGATGTAAAATATTTTCTCTCCCAGTCTGTGAGTCCCATCCCCAGAGGTAACCCATGTTCCATCACCATAGATTTGTTTTCCTGCTCACAGAAATGAAACCTCAAGTATGCCCTCTCGTGTGTTTTATTCACTCAGTGTCCACGAAACTTAACTTTGTCACTTTATAAGTACTTTATTCTTTCTAAAAATTGCAGTGTAATATTCTGTCATGTGAATATACCACAACTTTGAAGTTCTAGTCTTTATGGACGTTGGATTCTTCCCAGGTTTTGCTGTTATGAGTGACGCTGCTGTGAGTGTTCCTGTGGGAGTCTCACTGTGGTCACATTCTCATTTCTCTTGGGTAGAAACCCAGGATGGCACTGCTGGGTCACTGGGTAGGCATATCTTTAGTTCGAGTAGATAGTGCTGAACAGTTTTCCAAAAATGGTTGAAGCAACTTATACTTCCCTCGTCATGAATGAAAGTTTTATTTACTGTGCATCCTTGACAGCACATGCTACTGTCAGTCCATGTGATTTTAGCTGTATTAGTGAGTAAGTGGCTTCCTGTGTTCTAATTCACAATTTATGGGGGCAGGTGAATAGTGATGTGGTAGATGGTTGCCACAATTCCTTCCATCCCTCCTTGAAAATCTTTCTTCAGTGTGACTCTTGTGTTCCTATCAGGAGATGGAGTATATTTCTGCAGTCCTTAAAGGGAAGTTTGATGACATGATTTGTTTGGCTAATGGAACATTATGAAACATGAGGGAAGGAGAGGCTTGAAAAACACACATTGGGGTTTGCCCTCTTTTCTTGAGAGCAAAGTGTGAAGAAGCCTGGGTCGGCCTCTCACATGGAGAGGGGTGTTTTTCTGGTGGTCAGTACCAGCCAACAGACATGCGAGTGATGCCATCTTTGATCATCTGTCCCAGGGAAGCCACCAGGTGACTGAGTTGCATGAGCGATCCTAGATGAGGCTGTCAGAACTGCCCTGCTGAGCGCAGCTGAAATTGCTGACTCACAGGATTATGAGTACATGAGGTGGGCAGGTAGGGATAGAGAACTGATAGAAGTTAGTGTCAGGAGGCTGCTGCAACAACACTGAAATGGTGGCATTGACTTTACAATTTGGCAGCAAGAAAGCAGCTGAAAAAGAATGAAAAAACTTAATGTCTGGAAACACAGTGAACAAACTGCTTCTCAATGTTAGGGAAAGGCTTCAGTGGTATGGAAACCACTGGCAAAAATAACTTCAGTAACTTGGAAAATAGAACATGTACCTAATGAACTTGTGGATATGTCTGAGAGGGAGGCTTTCTCCCGCCTCTGGCCCTATGCTCAGTCTTCCTCATGGCTGACCAGTGGTGGCCCAAGAAGAGCCTGTGAGTGGGTGAGAACTCACACCAACCTGCACTTGGCCTTTAGCAATTGGTTAGGAATTTTAGCAGAAATCTTACCCTCTTGTCTGGTGGCACTGTCTTCATCCTGTGCTACAGGTGAGTCAGCACTCTGTCCACCTCTCTTCCCCTAGGTGTCAGGCTAGTCAGTTGCTTGTGGCTTGAGCTTTCTGCTGGTGCCAAGAAAGTTATGTTTTTATGAATTACTCAGCCTTGTCTTTTTGCTGTGGTGGCAGCAATATCCACTACATTTCTAAATCCAAAATGGAAGACAGAGACAGGGTTCTCTCTACATTCCACTGTTTTTAGAATTATTTATTGGACTTGATCATTTTTCTGTAAGTTCCCTGAGGTCAGAGACCGCATGAACCTTGTTCAGTGTGACTGACTTCCTTTAAGCCTAGCCTGTGCTGGATAGAAAATAAGCTTTTAATATGCTTGCTGGGTCTATGTGAATTTGTATGTGGGCAATGCTACCAGGTGGAATATGTGTGGTCTCTAAGCCCATAAGGCTGCAGATTTCTGTGGGCTGCTTCCTCTCACTCTCATGGTGAAAGCCTCTATCTCTGAAATCCACCACCCCGGCAGCCTCTACTCAGAGTGGAGAGAACATAGTGCCTGGCATTCACAGGAGATTTAATACTAGGTGGTTCTTAGGCATCTGGGTTAGCCTGAGGCTGTACTCTTAGACTGTGTGATGGGAGAAATGGAGTGTGTGTGAGGATCAAAGATCATCTTAAAAGACTGCTCCACCTGTCAGGCCTTCAAAGGGCACTTTGCCTTAAGAGGGGTACTTCTACAATCTGAACTAGAAAGTAGGGAAGCATACTGGAAAGGCAGGTAGCAGGTAGTAGTCAAGGTAAGCAGGGTTTTACATAATGTTTGCAGCTCTCATTGTGCTATTATGTTTATTCCTTTTTATTTTTGCAATGAAAGTATAAAACTTTGCTGATCAGAAAAGCCATTGGTTGATTCATGTTACTAGATTCGATGATAGTCTACTGAAGTACATGGTAGCTAAGAGGAAATACCACCAGTAGAGTATATTTTCAGTTATTTTTTAAAAATCAAAATGTTTATGTCTGCTCAAATATGTTCTCACACAGTCTTTTTGCCTCCATTCACAGTATCTTTCTCTGAAAAGTATTTTAGTTAAGGTTCTTCAGTCAGGAAAAAAGCCATCCTCATTTCTCATGGAGACTGGGATACTGGTGCTGCTTCCCTATGTGGATGGCAGAGGGGAGTGGAGGTGAGAGACTGTAGGCAGCAAGTGCGTTCATCACAGGGATTTCACACCAGCTCTGTGCAGTGCCAGGTGAGGGGAACAGTCCTGGATTTGGGTCCTGTGTTTCCCACAGTAGGATCCCTCAGGAAGGGACCATGCCTTTCACTGGAAGATTGGTGGGCTGAGGGTCAGTCTGCCCAGGCTTTGTCTCTTGGTCCCTCAGAGTCCTTTGGTCACCTGACCTCTTCAAATTTACATTGTTTTGTCCCTCCACCCTTTGGCTCCTATTGCCCTGATTCCCCAAATCAACTAGCTGCTGGACTATAGGCTGGCCTTCAGGGATGCTCAGACTCCAGGAATCCCAACCCAAGTCTAGTCAAGTCCTGCCCAATGGACTCCTGAATGCCCAGGTTGACAGATTCCCATGTAGGGAGAATCCCAGCCCTTGCCAGTGTTCTAGCCATCTTTAAGTCTCAGAAACCTGGACCTGTGAACTTCTGGTTCTGGGTTCAGACTGCAGGACTTTTGGCTTGGGGACTCTAGAGATATCTGACTTCTGGTTTTGAGACTCCAGCAATGGTTTGACTCCTCAGGAGGGTGCAAGTTGAGGCTGTGATTCTCCCACATCAGCCCCATGACAGCCATGTCCCATGAATGTGGGGTACGAATGATGATGCTCTCAGGATCACCCCAATGTTGGCAGCTTGAAGGAAATTGCCCTTTCTTCTTTGGCATCTGGCAGCCTGCTTTATTTTTCTGTGAGAATGAATTTGCCCAAGGAGTTTCAAATTGCAGAGGTGGATGTGGAGACGAAGTAGAGACTTGGCTCCCAACACAGAGCAGTCTGGGGCTTGTGCTGACCTCCAACTTACTCCCTCCCAGACACACAATTCTCCCAGGTGCTGGACTACAAAACATTCTTCCCCTAAGATTCTTTTGTGGATGTCAAATGCTCCCATGGTAACATTCACATTTCCTAGCCTGGCTGTGAAGAATCATAGTCATGTGATCCCAGTTACTTATCTGGAAGGAAACCCATCTCTGAGATGGTCCTTCCTTTCATCCTTCAGCCCACAGTGCTTATTGGCTATTTGATCCTCAGGTTTCATCTTAAAAATAATGCCATAAAGTTTGTAGTTGATGACCATCTCTGTGTGTGGCCAGGCACAGAGGTAGGTAGCTACCCAAGTTGCTTTCTTTTTCATTTCCTTTTTTTTTTTTCTTTGCATCCACTCTGGTTTTATACTAATTAAACAATAGAGAAAGAGCAGAGGCTTTGCCAGTAAAGAGCCAAGGATCTGATTTCTGGCCCTGCCAGTGACTAGTTTTTTGATATCAGACAAGTTTTCCTATTGAATGGCCAGTAGACTGACGCTCATCTTACAAAGAAGGAATGCTTTAGTGAGCTAGTTGTGAAGCTTCCTTTTGGGGGAGACAGCTACATGCTTTTCTCCCTTATCAATAGGAAATGTAAGCTACCACCAAATAGGCTGGCTATATAGTCACTGGTAATGCCAAGAATAATAAGCAGAACTTTGCCCTGACTGGTGTAGCTTGGTGGATTGGGCATCATCCTACAAACCAAATGTCACTGGTTTGATTCCTAGTCAGACCATATGCCTACGTTGTGGGCCACGTCCCAAATTGGGGGCAGGCAAGAAGCAACTTGTTGATGTTTCTCTTGCACATCTATGTTTCTCTCCATATCTTTCTCCTTCCCTTTCCCTCTCTCTAAAAATAAATCAATAAAATCTTTAAAAAAAAATAAAAAGTAGAACTTGGCCCTGGCCACATGGCTCAGTTGGTTGGAGTGTTGTGCTGTATACAAAAAGGTCACAGATTTGATTCCCACTCAGGGGCACATACCTAGATTGTTAGACTGATTCCCCATTGGGCCATATATGGGAGGGATCTGATTGGCTTTTCTCTCTCTCTCTCAAGTCAATAAATATATCCTTGGGTGAGGAATAAAAAAAAAAGCAGATTTGTGGCTCTGATAAAACATGAGGAAGAAAGATCTATGGTGGATATTTCCTTTGTCAGCTCTTCTAGAAAACCCACACATATAGATTCTCACGTGGTTAATTGAACAGGAATATTTTTTACTTAAAATCCAAGGTAGAAAGTTCTCCACAGCTGGGCTTGATTGCCTCTGCACCATGAGAAGCAGCTATTTATGATTTCTCCCAAGTAGGTAGAATTATAACCACATGTATGGCCCATTTCAAACTATCTGGGAATGTTTGTGAACAGCAAAGGCTGATTAATGGTGAGGAAAGTCTGAATAGTGGCTACCTTGAGGAGAAGTGGAAGAAACTTTTGGGGGACTGGAAGTGTTTATGTCTTGATTCATTAAGCTGGGAACTTACGATCCCAGTGTACTTCCTGCACCTCATTGAATGTGCTCTATACCCAATATAATGTGAGAACTGTTTTATCCACTTGGAGAATCCCCTCCACCATTTTGCTTTTTTCCTGATTTGCTTTTGCACTATTTGGAGAAATGAAAGAATAACGGGAAAAAATAGGATTTTACTACATTTTTTAGCTTCTCAGAGAGAAGAGGCTGACACTCGGGTCAAGAGAAAGACTTGGAGCTTATATGGAGATTTTTCATCTTTCTACCCATTTGATTACTGCTATAGGATTGAGTCCCAGAGATCTATGATCTCTCCCTCACCAGCTGAGTTAACAAAAATATGGTTAATCTGTTGGTTCTTTGTGGACCATGGGATGATTTAAAGGACAATAGTATACAACTGAAGAGGACTTTCTTGAGATACTAACTTTAATTTCTTTATTCTTCTTTATCTCTGGTGCCTGTTAGAATAGCTCACATACAACAGGTGCTCAATACATGCTTTGTAGTTTGTTTCCTGATTTTGAGAAAACATTCATCACTTACTTAGTTTCAATGTTTATTAGCTTTCTATGGGAAATGCAATTTCTGACTAGTAGCCATGTTTATTGGGCAACTTCTGCATATAAAACTGCATATAAAACCTTCTGCATATAAAATACCTCCAGCACTGTTTCAGGCTTAGGTTGAACAGGGGAAGTAAGGCAGCCAAGAGATTAGAAGACTTCTTGCAGACAGAATGAGGATTCAGGCTATGTCAAACTTGAGGGTCTAGGGTTCATCACCCCCTTTTTCTACAGCCCCCCAAGTCCTTCCCTGAGGGCCCCCTCGTGACCATGGCTGTCTTAGGTCATCCCTCCCATGAGGAATCTTACCTGTCATTGGCTAACTGGTCATACACTGGGGACCAGACAGGATAAAGTAAAGTGTGCAGAGGCAGTGCTCCTGCTAGGGAGATAAGCTTTGTCTCCTTAGTGGCTTAGGGTCCCAAGGTCTCTCACTCAGCCTTAGCCATGGGGAGTTACAGCTTCTGAAACCAGGCAGGGTGGTTCCCAACAATCTTCCTGTCACTGGAACCCTGGGCTGGGATCCCTCATTCCTGTGATATCTTTTCCAGTTTTACCTGCTACATAAGAGTGTGGTACCAGCCTGTTTCACATCTCCACACTCTGCTCAAGTCTAGATGTAGTTTCTTCTTTAATTCTGTAGTTGTAGGACTTCCATTCAGCTTGATTTCTGATGGTTCTGAATGATGGTTTTTCTGTAGTTCGGTTGTAATTTTGATGTGGTTTTGTGAGGAGGTGTGCTGTGTTTACCTAGGCCTGCATCTTGAACCTTCTGATGGAATGTTCATGCATCTTGGTGGCAGTGACAGCTACAGGAATCTACACTTGATAATATGCCATGGACTGAACACACATTGTCAGTTTCTTGGTTTAGATATTGGACTATCATTACACTGAAATGCAACCCTTTCAGGAAACTGGGTGAAGGGCACACAGGACTTCTTGGTATTGTTTTTGCAACTTTCTGTGAATCTATATTTATGTAAAAGTAAAAACTTAAAAATAAAGAAGTTTGCTAATAGATAATAGGTATCTGTCTATTCTGATCTAAGGTCCTTGCAGGGGCAAAAACCAGTAGAGTAATTCTTCACAGTTGGGCATTCTTTCTATATCAGAAAGATGTAACAACCACCCTCAAGGAGGTTTCCATGAGAATATGAGTAATGCCATGCAAATAGTTAAGAAATAGAATTGTGAGTTTTAAAGAAGTTAGTGGACAAAATGGGGAAGAATCATCTAGATTAGCTGTTTCCTAAATCAGATAATCGAAGACATTGGTCACACTTAAAACAGGAAGCCCTTTTAACACACAGACCAAGGTCAGAGGCACTCTGTGGCTGAGCTTGCTGGTGTCTGCACCATGAGAATAGGATGTCTAAGATTGCTGCCAGGTAGGTACAATTATAACAATGGTTATACCGTAATAATGACCATAATCATAAGAATTGCTATCTCAGAACTCTATTTCCAGTTTGAGAATTTTCTCTGTTCTTTGATTTATTTCTGGTTTTCCTACTACCTCTATAAAGGGAAACAGGGAAGAAATTTTAATGATATTAACTCAATTATACTAAATATTGAAAGGGAAAATTAGTGAAACTAATTCCTAGGGTGAACTTGGGGCCTTAACAGAGGTTTCTCATTTTACCACTACATTTGCTAAAGAAACAGAATATATGGCAGGTCCTGGAATAACATCATTTTGTTCAACGTCATTTCATTATAACATTGATGAGATGGCTCTAGGAAGCTAACTCTTGTTTAGAGTGATTAGCCTTTGGTGAAAATGGTCGGGTGCATGTCATTTTGCCACATTTACAAGAAGCTATCACTAATATTAAGTGAGGGCTTACTGTACCTATTATATTGAGAAATGGGTTTCTGAAATAGTGGAGATTAGGAAGTGCAAACTATGCAGGGCAGGCTGACAGGCTGGAAACCCAGGGAAGACTTCATATTGCATCTCAAGTTCCAAGGCAGTTTGGAGGTAGAATTCCCCCTTTTTTCTTGTGGAGGTCAGTCTTTTTTTTTTTTCTCTTAAGATCTTCAACTGATTGGATGAGGCCCACCTGGATTGTGGAGGGTCATCTGCTTTACTCAAAGTCTACTGATTTAAATGTCAATCTCATGTAAGAAACACCTTCACAACACCATATAGACTAAGATTTGACCAAACATCTGGGCATTGTGACCTAGCCAAATTGACATATAAAATTAACTGTAACACAACTTTATTTTTTCAGAAGTGTACATACTCAAACTTTCTGAAAAACTCTAATTTGCTAAAGAAAATATTGTCATTTAGTCTATGGAATCTGTGTGTGTCATGGAATAATTTGAAGGATAATAAAAGTGATAGAGTAAAAACTGATATTATCCAGGTCATCTTAATTTTGATTAACATTTCAATGAAAACATCCATATTTCTTATGTGATTTGTGGAACATGATTTTTTAAAAAAAGCTGGGAGCATTTTGGAGGGTTCATTGTACCAAATGCAGTGGGTATTTAAAATAAATGGAAAACAAGCCATGGCTGGTGTGGCTCAGTTGTTTTGAGTGTCACCCCATAACTGAAAGGTTGTGGGTTCAATTCCAGGTCAGGGCACATACCTAGGTTGTGAGTTCCATCCCCGGTCTAGGCACGTACGGGAGGCGACCAATCAATGCTTCCCTCTCGCACTGGTGTTTCTCTCTCTCTTGCTCTCAATCGAAAAGCAATGAAAACATGTCTTTGGGTAAGGATAAAAAAGTTAAAAGAAAATGGAAAACAGGCTGTTTCTTGAAGATATTAACACTTAGGTGTGCATATACTCGTATAATATACTCAGAAAAAATGACTTCATTCCTACACATGGGACAGCATTTCATTTTTCTTTAGGTGCCACATGTTAGAAAATGGAAGAAGCATAGTTGATGGGGCATCAGAGGCAAGGAATGCCTAGACAACTTTCCCAAGGGGTGGCTCCCTGCTGGATTTTGGGTTAGGCAGTCTGGCCCTGGAGCCTGGCTCTCATCACATCTGCAGTGAGCTGTCAGAGAAGAGGAGCATTTTGTGGGCAAGGAGGGAAAAACAGAAGTCTGGATTCTGACCCCTGGCAGAACCAAAGAGAGCATGTCATTATGCCTGACCTTGGGTCTGACCTGGACACAGGTGTGTTTCAGGTAACAGTAAGGTAAAGTAGGAACAGGAAGGAAAAGCAGGAACAGGAAGAACTCTACTCTTCATTTTCTTCTTTACTCTTTCCCTTAGCTGACTTCTGTGGAATGTTTATTGTGAGCCAGGCACTGTGCTAGCCCATTATTAGTCTTCACTAATAATGTGCAATCATAATAATGCCCATCCTATTATAATGACCACTGTACCCATTTAGCATTGGGAAATTGTGGTTCAAAGACTAGGTGGCATTTCTGAAGTCTCACAGCCACCAGGTGGGAGTTTGGGTTGCAGTCTTGGACACGTGTGACTCCAAATTTCTTCTCCACCGGTGTCCTCTGTCACCTTACAGAGTGTTGAACTGGCAGTGCAGCCTGGAGGAGGAATTCATCTTTGCCTTCTCCTGAGAAGAAAGACCCTGTATAGGGGACACAGAGATCAGGAAAGATGCTCTTAGGGTTCATGGCTCCCATGCATGGGCTGCCAGGTAGACTGGTTATTGCCTTTACAGTAGGTTGTATCCTTGGCACTGTAGTAATTTTCATACCATAAAGCCTGCTCTGTGCCCCATTTCTCAGGGTATAAAGGGCAAAGGCTGAGCTCTCAGTGCATGACAGGGGAGCCAGGAGCTCATCTGGAAGGAGGCATGGAAGCCACAGTGCTGTAGCTATCCCCCCTCACCCAGGGGATAGTGGCTCTACCTGCAGGGGCCTTAGTTCTCATTTCTCACCTCTCATCAGCTCCCTTCTGCCTATTCCAGAGCTCTAATCCCCATTGATATTGTGAGCTAGGGCTCACACTTTGGGCTCTCCAACTCTGAAATTGACACTCTTCTTGTATGCCTTCAAAGGGTGCCTTAATCAGGGGAAATGATCATTGAAGAGAAATCCCCATATTTGTGCCATTGACAGAGAAGAAGAACCTGGGTCTGAGCAAAGGGACACCAGTCTGAAGACTTTCTCCTTTAAGATGTAACTCCTCCATTGGGAGAGGTTGGGGTGTTCAAGATGTGTCCCTGTCAGCAGCTGTGTGTATGTTCTTACCTGTGCCACCTGGGGTTCCATGAGGACTGTGTCTGTTGGTGACTGATTTCTCAGGGGGTCCCAGGAGATGGAGGGGAAAGACAGAGTCTCAGTTGTCAGTGAAGTACAGGAGCCTGGGGGGATATGCTGGCAGCTGTGGGCTGCAGGGCCAGAGCCACCTGCTAAGGGGGGCAATGACCATGTGGAATGGGATTGAAACTCTCCTGTCTGTTTTTTCTGCCCCAGGACTCTCAGTGCTGCTGCTGTTGACATTAAGACCTGCAGACAAGGCCCTTGGAGGTGAGTCTGCCCAGCCACCCCCCCATTAGTGATGTAAGATGGGGGAGTCGTGCTGGGGTCTGGGGCCTCTCACCACCAGTGAAGGAAAGGAGGCTTATTCTGCAAGTGAGGCTCAGAAAAGTCTTCTGAAAGCGAGAAAAGCTATTTTTCTCCCTAAATGTCCAGAGTTTTCTTAGTTGTTCCTCTTCTAATAACAGCCATCTCTTCCTTCCTTCCTCTCCTCTCCTCTTGGACCCCAGCTGGCTGCCTTTATTTCTTGAGTCCTCTGACTGTTGTCTCCATCTCCACAGCCTCTGCCTCCTTGGCCTGTGCTCCCTGGTGCCCCCGACACTCCACATGTGTCAACGCCACCACCTGTCGGTGCCTTCCAGGATTCAACTCTTCATCTGCCAACATCATCACTGACCCCACGGAGACTTGTGATGGTACAGAGACTTGGGGGAGTGGAGGGCATACAGAGATTGTGGGGGGTGGTTGTGGGGCATCCAGAGACCTCATCCTTGAGAGCAGCACAGGAACACCTCGTCAAGCCTGAGACACGGCAGGACAGGGAAGGAGGAGGGGAGAGGGCAATAAAATTTCATGATCAGTAGGAGCGTGCTGAGACCTTACACAGTGGAGCCGGGTGATGTGGGTTCAAAGTCTAGCTTTGCCACTGACTGACCGGCTCTCTGACATGAATGAAATTATGTCTCCTGTTTTTACTATTTATTGGTAATAAAAAACACCCTTAATATGTTTGAAAAGAAAAAATACCTCTAAAATTTTTAGTTTTCTGTGTAGTGGACTTATGGGTGAGTTTTTTGTTTCCTTTTTTTTTAAATTATTTTTTTTGTTTCCTTCTTTAACATTTATTTTATTTTCTAAGTGTCATGTCTTATTATATATATTATATATATATATGTCTTATTATATTAATATTTGGAGAAAAGCAGATTTTATCAGAGAAAATATAACGATGTTGCTGTGACCAGTGCCTGGCCCATCCATGACCCTGGAGGCATTCCTAGGTTCCTTTGTGCATTCGCATGTGTGTGTCTCTTGGAGACTTGTAGTCTGGGTGACATGGAGGAGATCCCACTGCTACTATAACTGGATCTCAGTTCCTAGCTGGAAGCACACTTGTCAGCTTGGGGAATTTTCCACTGTCACATCTACTTGTTGTGCACACCTCATTTCCAACTCCCCCCCATTCAACTTCACCTCGTGCCATCAAACTTGAAGACAGGTCTGTAGCCATTGTCACCACCTGAGAACAGAGTGGAGAAGTCCCAATGCCCAAGTGGGGAATGAACATGAGTGCCTCCTGTCCTGTATTGGGTGTCGAAAGTCACAGCCTGGGTTTGGGAACTTAGAAGGGAAATCCACAGGTGTGGAGAAGAAAGGTGGATCTGGGGGAGACCAGCTGCCTGACTCATGACACTGTGAGTCCTTTCAGCCTCTAAAGTCTTTGGTCACCTGATTGGAATGTATATGACCTACCATTTTGCCCCCTGCATATTTTTTTAAAAGAATTTATTTGTTTATTTCTTGAGAGAGGGGAAGGGAGGGAGAAAGAAAGGGAGAGAAACATCAATGTGTGAGAGATACATCGATCAGTGGCCTCTAGCTTGTCCCCCAACTGGGGACCTGATCCATAACCCAGGCATGTGCCCTGACTGGGAATCCAACCTGTGACCATTTGGTTTGCAGGCCAGCACTCATTCCACAGAGGCACACCAACCAGGGTACTATCCCTGCATTTTGAATCATTCTTGTATATGTTTTTCTTAATAAAACATTGTTTTTGGCCCACAGTGAGTATCTAGCCCCTGCTCGGTGGATCTCTGAGCTACTCAAAGTAGATCTTGGTCATTGGAGTCTCTCTCTCTCTCATGTTTAGAGAACAGGGAGGTAAGATGCCAGAAAACACTGCACTGACTCAGCTGTGAGCAACTGCAGGCTGCTTCCTCATTTCACATCTGTGCTGGGCTCTGATAAAGGGGAACTTCCTCCAGAGGTGGAGACTCCCCCCTGAGGCATCCTGGGGCATCTGCAAAAGGAGCTGGGGGAGGACCTGAGGAGGAGAGTCAGGTGCCACTCTGAGCCACTCTGAGTGATGGGAGGTGGAGACCTCAATAGGCAGGGGCTACACACCTGGCTCTATCTTCAGGTGTGAATGATGGTGTCACCATGGACAGCCCTCAGTCCTGACCCATTCCATGACCTCAGCCCTGAGGGTGGCCTTCACTGACTCACCCAACCTGACTGGAGGTCACTCCCCAGAGCCCAGTGGTGTAAACAGTATCACAGGGAGGATTTGTAGCCTGAGTCAGTGCCTCTGTCGACTCCTCAAGCCCTGGAAAGCAGGATGCAGCCCCTTCAGGCAACAGCAGAGTTACTGAGTCTAGGTGTCCTCAGAGCAGCCAGACAGCAGACATGGGCAGAGAGGTCAGTGGGCTCTGCAGCAGCTGGCTCTGCCCAGCCCAGCCCAGCCCAGCCCCAGCCCCAGCCCCAGGAGTGCCACCCTGGACCTGTGTTCTGTCTAGTCCCCATGACAGTGTCTGGCTGGGTGCCAGGACCTCTGTCCTATAGGAACTCACACTGTTGGGAGGTGACCCTTTGTTCTGTTTTGTTTCAGACATTGATGAGTGCAGACCACCCTCGCCAGTTTCCTGTGGAAAACTGGCAGAGTGCCGGAACACGGAGGGGAGCTACTACTGCATGTGTGCCCCGGGATACAGGCTTGTTTCTGGAGCAATGAATTTCAGTCTTGAGAGTCAGAACACGTGTCAAGGTCAGAAACCCTGCATCCTCCATCTCTGTGTCCCTGCAGTTTGGGAGTCAGTTGCCCCACTTTCTTCAGTCATTAGAGCGCCATCCTGGGCACCTTCCTGGTCATCCACCCTCTCTGAACCCCCAAGGCTCAGAACCCTCCACAGAGTGCCACTTCCAGATGTTCAGAATGTCCCTCCTGCCAACCTGGAATCTTATTTTTTATGAAACAAGAGGGGTTGTGGTATTAAGAGACTTCATGAGTTCACAGCACCTTGGGTTCCAGCGCAACATCCATCTTCTTCACCATGGTCAGTGACTGGCAGGATGAGACCCCTTGCCCTGACTGGATCCCACATGGACTCAGTCATACCTGGAGATCTCTTATAACCCCCCTCCCACCCAGTCCTTGATGGGCCTTGATGGGCCCTGGAATTACACCCAGCATCATGAAAGGAAGGGAGATTCAAAGGCAGACCTACTGTGCTGGGCCAGCTGTGCCCCTCACCAACAACCCCACCTGAGAAGATGCCTCCTGGCACTATGTCTGCTCAGCCCCCATCCATTCCCCTGAGCAAGGCCCCCACCCACCCTGACACTCCCCAACAGTTTCAATTCAGAGACCCAAGTGCAGGTGAGGTGACTGGGACCCAGAAGGATCTTGTGTTGGTGGTGGGCAGGGTGATGTCAACCCCTGCTCTAAGCTCAGATTGTTGTATGAACAAAGAAGTCCCCATCTGGACCAGATGACAAGGGAGGGCATCATAGGGGAGCACTGTCTCAGGCTGGGCCCTCTCCTGAGGTGGTCAACCCAGTCACCATGGGGGCCCAGACCATTGGCAGACAGACCATTGGCAGTCACACTCAGCTTCCCTGGTCTGTGTCCCGGTGGGAACCCAACAAACCAGGTAACAGACTCAGCTGTCACCCCTTGGACTTCAGCACTGGCTTTCCCTTCTAGTCACCCAGCCCTTGACCACCACTGGCCTTGCTCACAGGTGAATTCTCACGACTTTCTGCCAGTCCAGGGGATGCCTTCAGAAAAAATCAGAAGAGGTGCCATCACTGCTCCATGCTGAATCACTGCACACCAGCCCCACTTCCCACCACATTTATATACCTTAGAGTGTGCCCACCACATTTATATACCTTACAGTGTGCCCACCACATTAAGTCTAGGAACCATCAGTCCCGGTGCAAACTCCTCACACAACATTGACTATGTTCCTCTTCACATTTCCACCCACTCCCCTCCCCCTGCCCTCTGGCAACCATCCATGTGGTCTTGGTTCCTATGAACCTGCTTTTCTTTCCTTTTTGTTTGTTTGCTGTTTTGTTTTTTAGATTCCACATATAAGTGAAACCATATGGTATTTGTCTTTCTCTGACTTATTTCATTTCGCCTAATACCTTCTGGGTCTTTCCATGCTCTTGCAAATGGCAAGATTTTATTCTTTTTTAAATTGCTGCATAATAGGCCCTGCCCAAGGAATTGTCTCCCTGGACAGTCCTGCCACAGAGCAGGGAGGTGGCAAGGCCTTATGTGCTGGGGGTTTTGTGTGGAGCCCCTGTGAGCACCCCCTGACACTTCCCCTTTCTCATGTGTCACATACAAGCTGAGGGAGGTATCACTTCCTGTTCCTAGAAAGGGAACAGGGGCCGGGGGCCCAGGAGGGAGCAGGCAGGAGTCTTTGGTCAGGAAGTCCAGCCACAAACTCAGTTTCCCTCCTGCTTTTGCCACCTATACACTGGAGACTATGGTCCCTGCTGTGTCCACCTTTCAGGGAGGCCACCATATTGTGCTTAGAGGGTGAAGTTGAAGGTCACCAGGTGGTGGCCTGTGTACTAGCGGTGAGGACCTTAGTGCCGGGCAGTGAGAAGAGAGTGCAGTGAGTGGAGGGAGGGTCTGATGCTCTGGCTTTGTCCTCAGATGTGGATGAATGTACCTCTGGGCAAAACCCCTGCCACAACTCCACGCACTGCCTCAATGTCCCAGGTGCTAATTGTGCCACTGCCACCCTGGCTGGAAGCCGATTCCTGGGTCCCCCCAGTGGCCTAGACAACACTGTCTGTGAAGGTTCAGAATTCAGATCCCACACACACTCCAAAGGCCACAAGTGACACAGTCTGATCACATACTCAGTGGTACCCACAGGATCCTAGCAGAATGAATGCTGGTCATGCGCTGCTGTCCCTGAATTAGTTCCTTTGAGACTAAGTGGGAGAAAGCCTAGGGGGTCCTGAGGAAGGAGCTGGTTTATCCAGGGGAAGGCTCCAGGGGGGATCCAGGCAGCAGCTAATCAATAACTGGGATGAAGGTATTTTGATACCTGACATCTGTAATCTGTTGTGGGGCTCACCTGCTACGTGTCAGGCCTCTGCACACTTCCCATAGTCCCTGTGTCCACCACTCAAGGACCTGCAATCACCAGGTATCATCACCTCCAGACAAGGGGTGGGCATAAGGGGAACTCATAGGGGGAAGGGACGGGACATGGAGAGGAGAGGGGCCTGATCTGGCTGGGACAGGCAGGGCCTGACCCCTTCTTCATGTCCCCAGATGTGGATGAGTGCAGCTCCAGGGAGTATCAGTGTCACAACTCCACCTTCTGCATCAACACTCTGGGCTCATACGTGTGCCACTGCCTCCCAGGCTTGGTGCCCAAACCCGGATTCCTACATAAACAAAGGACTACCCAGTGTGAAGGTACCTGGCCTGACCCTTGACCCCACCTCCAATACACACAAACAGTCTCTCACCTCATGAGCCTCTGTTCTGTGCCCTGCAGAGATCTCCTTCCCCACTTGGATCCCTCCCCCTGGAATCAAAAGCCAGGTGAGTGACTCCAGCAGGGACTGTTTCCCCCAATCCCATGCTGCTCCCCCACAACGGGTGAGGCTCTCTGACCCCTCCTTTCCTCTCTCCCAGAGTCTGTCCCGCTTCTCTAAAGAAGTCCAGGATCTTGGCAGATACTTCATGCCCGCCTCAACCCAGGACACCATCAAGGTAAGGGCTGGACCTGGCGGGACATCAGGACAGTGAGGGGCTGGCTGGGGATGCTTCCAGGTGAGTGGAGGCCGGTCAAACAAGCGCATCTGATCAGAGAAACATGTGTGGCTGTGTGTACAGCATATACACCCCATGGATATCCCCATCACACAAACACAGACGTACACACACTCCCTGATTCCTGGGTCCCCCAGTGGCTGGAGCAGGGCCCTCACATGCACACTCACACTCAAGGGGGATCTAATGGCTACAGAATGGAGCAAGGGAGAATTTTGCCTCCAGAGCTGAGCCACAAAGGTTCTAATTCCACCTCCCCCGACTTTCTGCTGTGACCTCAGGCAAGTGACTCCCCATGCATGGGGCTCAGTCTCCTACTTCATGTAGCAGTTGTGAAGGGTTAAGTGAACTAAGAGAGGGCTCAAAGATTCCTGCCTGCACACAGTTAGCATTAGATGTCAGTTTTAGCATATGCACTTAGCCCCACAGAAATATATGAGCCCCTTATGTCAGTTTAAATTTCCCAGTAGCTTTATTAAAAAACAGTACAAGTAAACAAGTGAAATTAATGTGAAGCTTGCATTAACCCAATAGATCCAAAATATTACCACTTCAACGTGGCACCACACGTGGGTCACTGTGACCGTCCTGGACAGCGCAGACTGAGAACAGTCCCTGGCAGAACGTCAGGGACTGATCAACGTTCAGAGCCATTGTTTCAGGTGCTCAGAGGCATCCACTCCTCCCCCTACTTGTTTTCTGGCTACTGCTGTGTCTCGATGATTCCACTGTGCCTGTTCCCAGGCACCCTGGGTGGTTCCCTGGTGTGTCCTGAGTGAGAGAGTGAGATCAGGTCCTTTGGGAGGTTCCTGTGGTACAGTGACCCAGCAGCTATAACCCTTCCTCTCCAGTATGTTATCAAGGCATTGGATGAGCTACTGGAAGTCCCTGGGGACCTGGAGGCCCTGACCCTGCCTGACCGGCACCGTGTGGCCACCTACCTGCTGTTGTACCTGGAAGAAGTCCTGAGGACCCTGACCAAGTCCATAGGTGAACCCTCCTTCACCTACTGTTCCCCTTGGGACACAGGTGAGGCCTCTTCCAGCCCCCACCCCAGTGCTGGGTCCTACCCTGCAACTGGAGCCCCCAGTCACTGCCCCTCTCCCTTCAGAGGTGTCCCTGGTGATCCAGGAGCAAGGGAATGGAACCATCACCCTGGGCCAGAGCCATGCACGGATGCAGCTGAACTGGGCTGAGGCAGTTGGCACTGGGGAGCCGGGTAACAGCAGGGAGCCAGAGGGGACGCCAGGGAGGGGGAAGAAAGAGCTGGGTGTGGCTAGGGGTGAGGTTCCAAACATGTAACAATTGGAAATGCCTAATGTATAGTTCTTAGGAGGGAGGTGGGAGGGCAGGAGAGGCAGCCAGCCTGTCTGTCCCCCAGGCCCCACCCTGGCAGGCTTATTCTCCAGCCGCAACATGCAGAGATTGCTGGCCAATGCTTCACTGGAGCTGGACCCTGAGAAGAAAGCCCAGCTGGAAAGCGCACATGGAGGTCCTGTTGGTGGTGGCCAGCCCAGGCTCCTCTCTGCTGTTAACACGATCTTTCTGAGCAACAAGAACATGGAGAAACTAGGCTCCCCTGTCAACTTCTCCTTCTCCCACCCTGTGAGTCCTTGGGTGGGTAGAGGGGATCAGCCCCGTATTCACCCTATGGACCATGTCATGATGGGCCCTCTGCCGTCTCTATTTCCCCACCTCCACCCATTCTGCCGCTTCCTTCATGTACCCCAGGGCCTTTGCACTTACTGTGCTCTCTGACTTGGACAGCTTTCCATCACGTGACTCAGCCCTTTACCTGTTTCTAGTCTTTGTTCTAACGCCACCTTCTCTTTTAGGCTCTCCCTGAATTCCTTATTTAAAATTACAATCTGTAATCAATCATGCCCCACCTTGCTCCATTCCCACTCCTTTTTCTTTTCTTTTCTTTTTTCTCCAATAGCACTGATCACCTTCTACCACACTACCTAGTTTACTTATCTATTAGGTTTACTATGTACTGCCTGTCTCCCCATGAGCAGCACATCAGCTCCACAAAGGCAGGGACTTGTGTCTGCTTTGTTCTGTGCCACGCCCCTGGCTGACACACACAGTAGGTGCTCAGTAAAGAGTTGTCAATGCAAAGTAGCCCTTTCACCTCAGCTCCCCAGTCACCTTTGTCTTCCAGCATGTGAGTCCTGTGGGATGGGGCTGTGGGTGCAGAAGAGGCCTGAGTTTTGTGCACAGTCTTGGAATTCAAAGTGTGCCCCCATGGGTACATCATCTCCCCAGGAAAGCCCTTCACAAGCGAGATCTGGGTCAGCATTTCTGGGCACCAGAACCACAGCTCACACCTGGGCCCTGTTCCTACAGTCAGTGACCCCTGGACCAAGGCAGCAGGTGCTCTGTGTCTTCTGGGAGCATGGCCAGAATGGAAGTGGTCACTGGGCCACCAAAGGCTGCAGGATGGTGGGCACTGGAGACACCAGCACCACCTGCCTGTGCACGCACCTCAGCAGCTTTGCCGTCCTCATGGCCCAGTATGACATGCAGGTGAGAGCCTTGGGAAGGGGCTTTGTTCAATGTCTATTGTTGTGTAGTAAATTCCCACACATGCAGCACCCTAAACACACACAAGTTTGTTATTTTGCAGTTTCTTCGGGTCAGCAATCTGCCATGGGGTAGTTGAGTTTGCCTCTCAGGGTCTAACAAGGCCAAAATAACTGCAATCTTATCTGAGGCTTGGAGTCCTCTAAGCTCACTGGTTGTTTCCAGCACTTGGCTATTGTAAATTGTGCTGCTATGAACAATGGGGTACACAGGCTCTTTGAATTGGTGTTTCAGGTTCCTTAGGGTATAATCCCTGCAGTGGGATCACTGGATCAAACCCAGTTCCATCTTTAGCTTTCTGAGAAAATTCCATACAGTTTTCCACAGTGGCTGCACCAGTCTGCATTCCCACCAACAGTGCACTAGGGTTCCCTTTTCCCCACAACCTAGCCAGCACTTGCTGTTTCTTGATTAGTTAATGATGGCCATTCTGAATGGTGTGAGGTGATATCTCCGTGTGGTTTTAATTCGCATCTCTCTGATGGCTAGTGATGCTGAGCATCCTTTCACATGTCCCTGTGCCCTCTGTATGTCTTCTTTGGAGAAGTGATTCTTGAGGTCATTTTTCCATTTTTAAATGGGTTGCTTATCTTCTGGTGTTGAGTTGTGTGACTTCTTTATGTATTTTGGAGATCAAACCTTTGTCTGAGGTATCATTGGCAGATATGTCTTTTCATGCAGATGGTTCCCCTTCATTTTGCTGATATTTCCTTTAGCTGTGGAGAAGCTTTTTAATTTGATGTAGTCCCCTTTGTTTATTCTATCTTTTACATCCCTTGCCCAGGGAGATATTATCAGTGAAGATATTGCTGTGTGGGATATCTGACATTTTCCTGCCTATGTTTTCCTCCAGGACTTTTATTGTGTCACAACTTATATTTAAGTCTTTTATCCACCTTGAGTTTATTTTTGGTGTATGGTGTAAGTTGGTGGTCTCTTTTCACTTTTTTACATGTGCCTGTCCTGCTCTCCCAGCAGCACTTGTTGAAGAGGGTGTTTTTACTCTATTTTACTGAAGACTTAAAATATGTGTGTTTCAAACTCAAACAGAATAAAAGAGAAACTTTGAAGATTGTCTGCCTCACTCCTAACCCCAGGCACCTACTTCCTCTTGCCTCAGAAAGAGTTGTTAGTTTCTCTTACATGTTTTAATGATTGTTTTATACATATAAAAAATACAAGTGACTGTTTTTTGTCCCTGTTTTTTTTTTACTCACATAGTGGCATTTTTCATTGTTGTGTTTTGTGTTTTTATTTATGACACCTAAGAGATTATTCCAGTCTACAAAGTGACACACCATTATTTTTACTGACAGTGCATTCCGGTTCATGAATGTGCCCTAAATGACATATCAGTTCTTCTCAGAGTGGGCATGTTATTTCATGATCATTTCCTCATACAGATAACATTGTCACAATTCACACGCACTTCATTGTTTTCCTGTTCAAGTGTCTAGTTAAGAGGTACACTGGGTCAAAGTCATATCCATATGTGGGTAGATGTTTCCATGGTCAACATACAGAGGTCACATATGAGAACACTCCCACCAGCATTACACGAAGGTGTGTGATTCCTCAGACCCTTAGCACAAGGGCATTGTCAAGGTTTTAGATCTTTTATGTATCTGAGAGTTAAATAGAATATCTAGGAGAATTTTTGTGTCTTTTTTATTATGAATGGAACAGAACCTCATTTAAGAGCCTTTTGTTGTGTGTGTCTGGAAAGAGGTCATTCATTTCTTGGTCCACTTTTCTATTGGCCTGTTGATAAGTTTCTTATGGATCTGGGAGCTCTTTATGTGGCAGAGGAATTGGTTTTATCTTGTTACACCAAAGATTCTCAAACCTAGTATGCATCAAAATCACCTGGAGGGCTTGCTATTTATTTGTAAACAATTTGAATCTTACAGATTTGTTGCAACAATAGAAATAGTGCAAATAATACCATACCACTCTATATCCAGATGTGCCAAGTTTAAACATTTTACCTCTGTTTTCTCTATCAGTTTTACATTTGTTTTTCTCTCCCTCCCTCCCTCTTTTTATCACCTACTTACACCAAAATTAATTTTTTTTAATATTCCTCATGGCTTTAAGATGACTTGAAACAATAGGCAGGAAAGTTTTAATCTTGAAAACCAAAGGCATCAGAGCATAGTCCTTTCCCTTCTTTAACCAAGGACATCACAGTAAGGAAGAAGTGTTGCAGGGATGAGGTGAGTGAGTCTGGGGTGGGGAGTTGATCCCTGGACATCGAGTCTCCAGGCACAGACTTGGTCACACAGTAACCTGAAGCTGTGTGCCCCCATGACCCTACATGATCACCTACAGCTTAGTCAATGCCCAGAAGTCTAGAGGAAAATGAACCCTGTGAATTCCAGGGCTTGGTCTTGAGAGAGGACTCTTCCATATTTTGTTTTTTCCAGTCTGAATTAATCAGTTCAGAACTCCAGAAAATTCTAACAGTATCCATAAATATCACTATTTTACCTGGTTCTGCCCCCATTCCTAACATTGCTGTACGCTCTCTGCCCCCACTCCCTCTGCCTCAAGAAAAGAAATAAAAAAAAAGAAAGAAAGAAAGAAAAAGAAAGAAAAAGAAAGGAAAGGGAAGGGAAGGGAAGGGAAGGGAAGGGAAGGGAAGGGAAGGGAAGGGAAGGGAAGGGAAGGGAAGGGAAGGGAAGGGAAGGGAAGGGAAGGGAAGGGAAGGGAAGGGAAGGGAAGGGAAGGGAAGGGAAGGGAAGGGAAGGGAAGGGAAGGGTAAATGGTTGAAGTTTTATTGCCCCAGAACAGGACAGTGTGACTGAGATCTCTTCTTTGCTGGGTCTCAGGAGGAGGATGTCGCCCTGGCTGTGATCACCTATGTGGGGCTGAGCCTCTCTCTGCTGTGCCTCTTCCTGGCGGCCCTCACCTTCCTGCTGTGCAAAGCCATCCAGAACACCAGCACCTCCCTCCACCTTCAGCTCTGCATCTGCCTCTTCCTGGCCCACCTGCTCTTCCTCACTGCCATCGACAGAACGGAGCTCAGGGTACTGATGCTGTCCCAAAGGACCCTGTGACCTGTCATAGAATGTGGAGTTCAGGGCTCCATCTCTAACCCCTTAATAAAATGTCCTTGGGTTCTGGGAAGGTTAAGAGGGGTGAGTAGCCAATTTCACACTGACTGACCCAACTAGCAAACACATCCTCTTTGACTATTCCTTTATATACAACAGAGATCTTCCCAATGGCAAGGCATAGGACAGGTGCTGGGACCATATTCCACCCTGACAATCCCACCTGGTGACTCTGACTGCTTCCCCAGGTGCTGTGTGCCATCATCGCAGGTGCCTTACACTACCTCTACCTGGCCTCCTTCACCTGGATGCTGCTGGAGGGCCTGCACCTCTTCCTCACTGCACGCAACCTCACTGTGGTCAACTACTCCAATGTGAGCAGGTTCATGAAGAAGTTCATGTTCCCTGTGGGCTATGGAGTCCCGGCTGTCATTGTGGCCATTTCTGCAGCATCCAGGCCTCACCTTTATGGAACAGCTGCCCGGTAAGGGCAAATTCTGACTTCTTTATCTTCTTCACCATGTCTCTGGCCTTTATAAAACCAGTGTAGTATTTGATTATGCCAGATCATATTACTGGAGACAACAAGTGGTAATCTTGGGTCATGTTTTATAATGATTAAGGGGAATGTCTTTAAACCTCTTCTTGAAATAACAAAGGTATAATTTATTTTTAATTTATTTTCATTTTTTCACATTTTTTATTGTTGTTCAAGTACAGTTGTCTCCATTTTCCTCCCACCACTCCCCCCACCCCAGTCATCCCCTCTTCCCACCCTTGATCCTAACCCCTACAAAGGTATAATTTAAAAAAGTGCTTTGGACATTATTATAAACAATGTAATTTTCCTCTTTATCTAAACACTATAGGAGGTTCTGATTTTATATTTGGGGAATAGGGCTGATTTAAATAATATAAACAATAAATTGTATTACAGTTGAGATTTGCATGGTGCATACTCTGTGCCAGTCATTTTTCTAGCTGTTATTATATTAGTTAGCACGATTCGTCCTCTCACAGTACTGTAAAGTAGACACTGCAATGGACCCATTTAAAGATAAGTAAATTGAGACATGTTGACATTAAGTAAATGACCAAAAGTGGACAGCTTGTAAATAGCAGAGCTGGTATTCAAATCCAGAGTGTCTGGCTCCAGAGTTTCACTCTTTTATTTTCAGCTTTTAAGGTTAGTTTTAATGGCTTTACTCATTTTTGAAATATATTTCAAACACCTTAAAATTTACTCCTTTAAAGAGTACAAATCATGGTATTGACAATAATCACAGAGTTGTGCAGTCGATACCACGATCAACTTTCACAACATTTTCAGCTCCCCAAAAGAAATCTCATACACAATATCATGCACTCCCCCTTCCTGCTACCCACTCCTCCAAGCCCTGAACCTGTAATCTACATGGACCTCCCTATCCTGGATATTTCCCATAATTGAAATAATACATATTATCTTTGTGATGGGATTCTTTCACTTAGCATGATGTGTTCAATGTTCATCATGTTTTATCCAGTATCATGACATCATTCTTTGTTGTTTTTGTTGCTGGTGTTGTTTGTAAATAATGTCCCATTATATAGATATTCCACATTTTTAAAATTTATCCATCAGTTGATAGACATTTGAATTTTTTCCATTTGTAACTACTATGAAAGGTGTTGCTATAAACACACATGTAAAAGTTTAAAATCTTTTAAAAATTAAATTTACTGTGGTGACATTGGTTAATAATATTATATAGGTTTCAAGTGCACAGTTCTCTAATACATCATCTGTATACTGCATTGTTTGTTTTCCACCAAAGTCAAATCTCCTCCATCACCCTATATTTGGCCACCTTTACCCTCACTCCCTCTTCCCATCCCCCCCTTTCTGGTCACCACCATACTGTTGCCTGTGTGTCTGTGAATTTTTGTTTGTTTGTTTGTCTTATTTGGTCATTCGTTGCTTTCAATTTTGTACTCTGCATATGAATGAAATCATATGGTTCTTGACTTTTTCTGTGTGAATTATTTTGCTTAGTATGCTATTCCCCAGCTCCTTCTATGTTGTCCCAAAGACAGTACTTCATCTTTCGTTGTGGCTGAGTAGTGTTCCATTGTATGTAAGTACCACATCTTTATTCAACCATCTATCAAAGGACACTTAAGTTGTTTCCATGTCTTGTCCACCAAGAGTAATGCTGCAATAGACATAGGGATGCATATATCTTTGCAAATAAATGTTTTCAAAATTTTCAGGTGGATATCCAATGGCAGCTTACTGAGTAGGAGAAGGTATTTTCAAACAACACCTTTGATAAGTGCTTAATATCCAAAAAATATAAAGAACTCTTACAATTCCACAAGGGTTTTCATAAACAACTACAAAGGACACATGGACAAAACCAACAGTGGGCAGGGGTTGGAATCAGGGGAGGGATTCAGGGATGACTGGGTTTCTGGGAGAGTGGTAGGGGTAAATGCAGACAACTATACTTGAACAACATTAAGATAATTTAAAAAATAAATTAAATAAAAACACAATTCCGTAACAAAGAAAGGAACAATCCAGTAAAAAATGGGCAGAGGACCTGAACAGATACTTCTCCCAAGAAGACATACAAATGGCCAACAGATATATGGAAAGATGCTCAACTCCTTGAGTTGTTAGGAGAATGAAAATCAAAGACATTAAAATGAGAGGTTGCCTCATAGTAATTATGTTAAATTGTTAAAATAAAAAACATGGAGAGTAAAAAACGTGTGCAAGGATGTAGAAAAATGTGAACTCTTATGCATTGCTGGTTGGAATGTAAAATAGTGCAGCCACTTTGGAAAATGGTTTGATAGTTTCTCAGATGTTGAACACATATAGCTACCACTTGACCTAGCAATTCCACTTGTATGTATATACTCAAAGCAAATGGAAACACATGCCCACACAAAAACTTGTCCATGAATGCTCACAGCAGCATTATTCAAAATGGCCAGCAATTGGAAACACACTAACCATCCATTAATCAATCAATGGATAAAAGAATGGCATACATACACACACACACATATAAAATATTATATATAATTATTTAGCCATTAAAAAGGAATTAAAAATATTATTCAGACATAAAAACTTGCAGCAACATGGTGAACCTGGTGAACCTTGATTGAAAAACACATTAGGCTAGGTGACAGAATCCAGTCATAAAAGACCATATATTGTATGAATACATTTATGTCTGGTTCAGGCATGTCCAAGGAGACAGACAGTAGAGCACTGGTGCCGTGGGACTGTGGTGGGTGGTGAGGTGCATGGAAGCAGAGATGAGGACTGATTGCTAATGTGAATTTTTTGAGGAGTTGAAAACGTTCTAGTTAGATTGTGATGATCATACAAATCTGTAAGTATTTTAAAGGTTACTGAACTGTACAGTGTAAATGGGTGAAATTTATGGTATATGAAATACATCTCAAAAAGGCCATAATTCAAAATATTCAGTAGATGGGTTTTGCAACAGATGAAAATAATTATATTAACTAGGGCAGGAACAGCCCTTAAAGTCATGTGAGATTCACAGGACTCTCAAAAACTGTTGACACATATACAGACTTCTCCTGTGTGTCAACACAATCTCAGTAACATCCAATCATTGCTCCAGTCTCAGCTCAAATATAATTTCCTTGTGGACTCTTCTTTACCATCCTCATTTCCTAGACTGGAACTGACATCCAGTGTAACATTCTCTTAGCCACTCATTTTGTTTTGTAGTTGCATTGTGTTTGTGCATCTCCTGCCTGATGTGAGATGTGTGGGATTTAAGATCATGTTTGATTACTTTATTTAAATTTTATTTTAATCATTGTTCAAGTAGTTTTCTCCCTTTTACTCCCAGTCCAGCCTACCCACCCAACCCTCCCCCACCTCCCTCCCATCACCACCCTCCACCTAGTTTTTGACCATGTGTCCTTTCAATTTGTTCCTGTAAGCCCTTCCGATTCTCCCCTGAAATTCCCTCTTCTCTCCCCTCTGGTCACTGTTAGCCTGTCCGCTATTTCAGTGTCTTTGGTTATGTTTTGCTTGTTTCTTTGTTTTGTTGTTTAGGTTCCTGTTAAAGGGAAGATCATATGGTGTTTGTCTTTCATTGCCTGGCTTATTTCGCTTAGCATAATGCTTTCCAGCTCCATCCAAGTTGTTGCAAAGGGTAGGAGCTCCTTCTTTCTTTCTGCTGATAGGACTCCATTGTGTAAATGTACCATAGTTTTTTGATCCATTCATTTACTGATGGGCATCTAGGTTGCTTCCAGCACCTAGCTATTGTAAATTGTGCTGCTATGAACATTGGGGTGCATAGGTTCTTTTGGATTGGTGTTTTAGTGTTCTTAGGATATAGTCCCAGCAGTGGAATTGCTGGGTCAAAAGGCAGATCCATTTTTAGTTTTCTGAGGAAGTTCCATACTGCTTTCCATAGTGGTTGTACCAGTCTGCAGTCCCCCCAACAGTGCACTAGGGTCCCCTTTTCTCCACAACCTCTCCAACACTTGTTGTTTGTTGCTGTGTTTATGATGGCCATTCTGACTGGTGTGAAGTAGTTTTAATTTGCATCTCTCTGATAGCTAGCGATATTGAACATCGTTTCATGTGTCCTTGGATCTTCTGTATGTCCTCCTTGGGAGAAGTGTCTGTTCAAGTCCTTTGCCCATTTTTTAATTGGTTTGCTTGTCTTCTTAGAGTGGAGTTGTGTAAGTGCTTTATATATTTTGGAGATTAAACCCTTGTCTGAGGTATCATTGGCAAATATGTTTTCCCATACAGTTCGTTATCTTTTTATTTTTATACTGTTTTCTTTAGCTGTGCAGGGGCTTTTTTTTGATGAGGTCCCATTTGTTTATTCTTTCCTTTATGTCCCTTGCTCTAGGGGACATGTCAGTAAAAAAGTTTCTGCATGAGATATCTGAGAATTTCCTACCCTACGTTCTCCTCTAGTACTTTAATGGTGTCACGTTTTGTATTTAAATCCTTTATCCACCTTGAATTTATTTTTGTATAAGGTGTAAGTTGGTGCTCGAGTTTCATTTTTTTTCACGTGGCTGTCCAGTTCTCCCAACACCATTTGTTGAAGAGGCTATTTTTACTCCATTTTATGTTGCTGCCCACTTTGTCAAATATTAATTGACCATAGAGACTTGGGTTTATTTCTGGGCTCTGTTCTGTTCCATTGGTCCATGTGCCTGTTTTTATGCCAGTACCAGGCTGTTTTGATTACAGTGGCCTTGTAGTATAGTTTAGTGTCAGGTATTGTGATCCCTCCTGCTTGACTCTTCTTTCTCAAAATTGCAGCAGCTAGTTGCAGTCGTTTATGATTCCATATAAATTTTTTGAAGTGTTTGTTCTATGTCTGTGAAATAAGCCATTGGTACTTTAATAGGAATTGCATTGAATGTGTAAATTGCTTTGGGTAGTATGGACATTTTGATGATCTTAATTCTTCCAAT